TCTGTCTGCTCAGTGACCTCATCTTCCCATTCCTCCAGGGAGGAGGCCAAGTCATTGCCTTTGAATCTCAAGGGGCCGGTCTTCTCAGGTACAGATGTTGAATAGCTATTTTGCAACTCTCTTTAGGACAGCTGCAGAGGAAGAGGCACAAAACCAGGGCAGCAAGTGGAGTGGAGGTGAGACACTAGGGAGGATGGAAGGTGTTAGATACAGAGATTGTCCCCTGTGGGGAAAGCCACTTGGATCACTTGGACCAAGAGAGCTGGGAAGAAGTGCTGGGAGGGACAGGGAAAGGGGCTCTTGGGCAAGGACAAGGAGAAAACCTGATTGTTGACATTCAACACAGGCCTGTGCAAGGGTTAGTGCTTGGTCGTCTCCCTCATGCATCCATTGTTGCAGTGCTCCTGCCCCGGTTCCTACTCCCTCCCAGCGCCTACACCTGTAGCATCAGTGGTGCTTAGTCCTCCCTTATGCCTGGCTGGGGGAAAAAAAGTCAGGTTGGGATTCTGCTTAGCATCTAGAACCTTCTCAATCTCCCAAGGGGGTTATGATAGGTTTTGGCAGAGAGGGAGACCAGGATGCCCAGGAAGGCCTGGTTAGGAGAAGGGTTAGAAAGGGTGCTTTAGGAGTGCTCTTGGTTGGAGCCATGCTCTCAGGTCAGTTGATTACACAGCTGCAATGGGAAGTCAGATTTGCAAATAATTATGGTGGCTGCAGTAGCCCTTGAGGCTGCCAGTTGGTCTTGGCACCGTTTAGGCCGGGAAGGGGAATGGAGCGTGCTGGGCGCAGTACTTGGCGAGCTTCTGACAGGCAGGATCTGGGGTCTAGGAAGTTTCCCCTTTTCTTCCTCATCCTCAGCTTCTTGCTTGCACATCTAGCTTGGCACCTTTTCCCTTCTGTCCTCTCTGCTCACCTTGTTTGGAAACTTCCTCCAGCCTGGGCTGAGTGAACACATGCCAGCTGCGCTGCCAAAGTTCCCCAGCCCTGGGCATCTCTCTACTAATCAGGAACTTTAGGAATTCCAACAAATCAAGTTGCGGTAACCTCATCCCAAAGCTGACTTTGTGCCTCCTGCCCTCTCCTCCTCTGCTCTCCTTTGAAATAACAACAAAGTTGGCTATTGTTTTGATTGCTGCAGAATGGATTGAAGGTAGATACGCAGGAGGCCTTCCTCAGAAATTCATGGAGGTTAGAAAGTGATCTTTCTCCATATAAAGAAAGATATCATCCTCCTTTAAGACCTAATAATGCTGATTTCAGAGGGGCAGTAAGTTAGTCAGCAAGGAAGAACTCTGGAACCTGGGAATTAAGGTCCAGGCATCCTGCCTCCCTAGTGCCTCCATGCCAGTCCCGAGTGCAAGAACCACACAGGGTTACAGAGGAAGCAACTGATACCCAGAGCTCGTTGGCAGGAGGGGGGTCAGCGCTGGAATCAGACTGCAGTCCTGCTGAGCCAGCTGCGTGCTGCCTGGCACACCTGCAGCCCTTCCTTGCCCAACTGCCAGCTCTTTCCCATCTCAGACTGCTTTCAGCATCTGGTGGGCCCCTTAGAAGATGAAGATAGTGACTTGTGCTGGGATGTGGTCTGGAGAACTAGTGGGGTGGACTGTGTAGAGGTGGTTAATGAACAGTGTTCAGCAGTGCAGGGAGAGAGGCAGTGATGGACAAGCGAGCTGGAAAAGAGCTCTTTTGGATGGGGTCCTGGCACCTGCTCTCTCCCATCTGCCTCCCCTCATATTCTTGCCCACCCCTCCCAATTCCTCTGTCTCTCAAGGGCTGAAGTGTTGGGGGGGAGGTGACTCATTTGTGTTGTGCTACACTGGCTATTGGGACACCTGGGTTCTTATTAGTCAGGCCTAAGGCTCAAGCCGCTCTGATTGTTCCCTTTTTCCTAGTGTGATCTGAGCTGTGTTAGGCTGTTGCTAAGGATCACCGGTTAGAAATGGCTTCTGTAAAATCTGGGCGTCGTGGCCCATGCCTTTAATCCCAGCATTCAGGAGGCAGAGGCAGGCAGATCCTTGTGAGTTCAAGGCCAGCCTGGTCTACATAGTGAGTTCAGGTCAGCTGGAACTACAGGGAGACCCTGTCTGAAAAAGACAAAAAAGAAAAGAAAAAAGGCTTCTGGTGGAGACTAGGGAGCTGCCTTCACACACAGGCAGGATAGAAGCAGACCCTCTCCACCCCATGGCGCAGTGTTTTTCCTGGCTCTCTTCTGGAGCACCTTCCAAATTTCCTTCCCTTCCCTTCCTGCCTTCTAGGACCTTCCGTACCTTTCTCTCATCCCCCTTCCACTCTCTTGGCTTCTGCCCTCTCTGTCAGCACACCTGTCTCATCCTTCCTCTAGCTCTTCTGACCAGTGTCTGAAGATCTCACCATGGCTGCCATGGCTGCCATGTCAACCTGAGGCCTGCCAACTCCTAGGATGGCATCCCAGCTCTGCCACTAGGGGGGCTATTTTTATCTCCGGAGCCACCCCCGCCACTCTGCCCAGCCAGCTGCCAGAACTAGGGCTGCTCAGATAGCAATGGGAAGCCAGGGAATGAGGGGAGAGTGAGCGGAGGGCTGGCCATTTTTGGCCACTCTTGGGATCTGCGGCCCTGTGCTCTGAGCAGTCCTAACCTCTGCTTCTACTGCCTCCATGGCCCCTGTGGACTGTGAAGGAGAGAGAAGCCCTGGATGTCTGGAGAGACAGCATACAGCTTTTCCACAAATAGCCCAGGTTCCATTTGGAGACCTCATGGAAAATCAGGTCCCGTGTATAAGGTGGGCCTCTGGGACTTGGTTTATGGAGGCCTCTCAATGAATATTTGCAGAACTAACTAAAGGACTGGACTTAAACAATAGTTTCCTGCATTAATGTATCACTATATAGTTCCCAAAGTATCTCACCATGTTCTCAGGAGACTTCTGGGGACCATGTGCTATTTACCTGCTTTTGATGTGGAGACTAGAGCTCAGAGAGGTTTGCCCGCAGTCATACGCAGTGGGAAAGTCGGGTGAGTTCTCCTGAGTTTAGCTGGTGTCATCTTTCTCTGAGATGCTGACTTCCTTGCTTCTTTTTGTTTCTGAGATTTTGGAGTTTTGAGATCAACTAGGTAATCTCTTCCCCCAAGACAGTCCCTGCCCCCACTCTCCACCCTTTTAACCTCTGTCCCAACTCCTTAGATCTTAGTGTAGAGTGTGGAAAGTTGGACGTGGGCAGTGGATGGAGGCCCTGTGGTCAGGCTCTTTTGAGCTTTAAATTTAAGGGCTAATGAAAGTAGGATGGGGATTGTAAGAGTGGAGAGAGCTCTTAAAGGAGGGGGGAGGAAGAGAGAAATGGAGTACATGTGACATGAAAGCAAATGGGGGGAAGACTTGGGGGAGGAAGAGAACCAGTGAGAGGGGTCGTGGAAGAGGGGAGAGGCAGGGGGAGAGGTGTAAGAACAAAGCACACTGACATACATGTATGAAAACGGCATAATGAACCTATGATTTTGTATGTGAACATAGATGCCAATGAAAACACAGTTAAGAGCTAGAGAGAAATCGATGCTGGACCTTTTGCTGGCTCTTCACATCTATGTCTTTCTTCCTATTCAGGTGATTTAGCTCAGTCAGAGGTAGAGTGTAGGGTGTGGATGAGTGTGTGAAAGAAAGGGATGGTGGTTTTCCAGCATCTCTTCTTACTAGGAACTGTTAATAATCATAGGCTAAGAGTCATTTCCCCAGGGGTGAGCAAGGAAGCAGAAGGAAGAGCTAACCTCTGCAAGGATTTTCTAGTCTGAGTTAATGTCTACCTTGCTATAGGAGGGTGGAGGTTAGCAGAGGAGGTCCTGCAGGGAGGGGAGCCGGCCAGCTCAGAGGAGGCTGTTGCTGTTAGGGGCTGACCGCAGCTGGCTGTCACCTCCCCCCCAATCCTTTTCACCTAGTGTGAGAGTAGGCCAAATGGCTTGGCCTGGGACCCTGATGCTGGGTCTAGTCCTTTCTCTCTGAAAGCACTAATCAGCTGGTGGCCGTGGTCCAGAGGGTGAAGGCGGTGGGGCACAGAGAACAGCATCCTGCCTCAGCCCACAGCAGCCCTGCATCTGGGTCACCAGTTCCCTAGAAAGCGACTCACGGGTCTTTAACCAATGCTCTTTTGCAGTTGAAACCCACTTCCACTTGTTTCAGTGCTCAGTGACGCCCAGACCCAGCAGGTCCCCAAACTTCATTTGTTTATAATCCTTCAAGGCCTTGGCACAATGACAGAATATTTAATTTCCCTCTGCTTCTGAGTGGTGGGAAGGAGGAAGAAGACTTCCCGTCATAAAACCCAAGCTCTAAGTCTGTTTCTTTTCCCTTTCTTCTGCCACACTCATCCCCATGAACCCTTTCCGCCCTTCCACATCATGCTCAGTGCAATACCCTAGACGGAGGGTACTGTAGGAACTCCTCTCAGGATGCGTTTGGCTTCCCCGCCCCCTCCTCCTCCTCAGCCCCGCCCAGTCCCCAGTGGACCAATCGCGGCCCTGTGCACTTGTAGCGGTGATGTCATCTCGCAGCCAATCGGGAGGCGGCTGAGGCTGGGTGCGCAGTCTACTTGGCGCTGCCGAGGCCGGGCTTCCACCTCCCCGACCTCAGCCCCCAAAGGTGGGAAGTCTGGAGGTGGGAGAGGGGTCCTGGTCCTCAGGCTTATCTGGGCGCCGCTATTCGCCCCTCCTGGGCCCTGGCATCACTACTCAGAGCTGGATTGACCTGGCTCTGGCTAATTAACGGTTTTCCCCCAATCTCCTTTGTAGATGAGAAAACCAGGGCTGGGAGTAATTTGGCCAGCCTCTTGGGTTGGGGTTTTTGTTGTTTTCTCCCAGGCCCCGCCCACTGCCCTGCCCTCTTTCTATGGAACAAGTTCTCCAGACTTCATTCACTGGTGGAGAGAGGGCGCTTCTCTCCCCGGAGAGCCCTCTGGCCTCGAGCATCTTGCAGGCCCCCTCCTGCTCTGCTTCTGAGGGAAGTTCACGGTCCTGCTTGTCCATTCTCTCAAGTGGCCCGGCTCCTGTGAAAAACCGCCCTAGGCGAAGCCAAAATCTTAGGAGCTGCTTAGCCCCACTGGGCTCTCGCTGGGCCCCTTCCGTTCCGACCACTGACTTCTCCGTGACAGATTCAGGATGGTTCCCTGTCCCTGCCGGACACCGCCTGCTAATCCCTTTTTCCCAAAGAGGAGCCCCACCTCCTCAGAGCAAGGGGCTGGCCTGTGCTATTTCTGGCCTTTCTGGGACTCTTCTGACAGCAGATTCTTGTTTTCAGTCTGATTCAGATGTGAAACTTCTCGGCCTCTCACCCAGTTCCTGTAGCCTGGGTCTCTGCCTCATCACCCCTTTAGCCTCTAGTCAGGCCCCTCCAGTTCCTCTCCTCAAACTGCTCTCTGCGTAGGTGCTCAACTCTGCTGGGACTTGGAAGAGGAAGTTGGGGGTTCAAAGGGAGTTGTTTCCCCAGAGGGGCCACAGGTCCCCGGGGTCAGCGTTTTGATAGTCTCAAGTAGGAAACTAATTTCCATGGCAAACCTTGTTCCTGTTCAGAGGAGCCACCTTCAGGGCCCCATCCTCAGGTAGGTGCTAAGGAGAGGGGAGGACAGGAGGGAAGGGTGGAGGACAGGAAAGGGGAGGAGAGGAGAGGACAGGAGGAGAAAAGAGAGGAGGACAGGAGAGGGGAGGACAGGAAGAAGAGGTGAGACAGGAGGAGAGGGGGAGGGCAGGAGAAGAGAGGACAGAAGAGGGGAGGAGGGGAGGACAGGAGGGGAGGGGAGGCAGGAGAGGAGGGGAGGCAGGAGGAGGGGACAGACTGCTTATAGACCCTTTGGCTGAGGTTTGGTGCAGGGGAGGCATCAGGACCTGACAGTTCCCCACGATTTGTGCACATGCCTCACCGTCTTACCCTTTTACTCCATCAGTCTTGTTTTTACCTTAGTCTCCTTCTAGTTCCCTTTCTCTTTGCTTTTCATTGCTTCCTCTCAACTATGACAGGTACTTTTCAGATTTCCCCCTTTCCTCCCTGATCCCAGTCCCAGGCACCCTTAGGACCTCATATTCTTTTTGTCTCTTCCCTTTCCCTCTCTCCCAGACTGCCTGCCCTTGGCTCATGGCAATCCTCCTGCCTCATTCTCTCAAGTGTGGAGATTACAGATGGGAACTACCATACCAGGCCTTTCAACCTCCCCACCATAAGAGCTGAAGGTTGAATTCAGGGCCTTACACTGTTAGGCAAAGGCTTTACCATTGAGCTACTATTCCCTGGTCCTCTCTCATCTTGCTCTGACTCCCAGTCCCCTGGATTGAGCTGTCTTTTCCCAAGGTCCCTACTTACAGCCATCTTTGTGGGAGTATTGGTACTGGAAGTAATGGTAGGGTCCTTTGGAAATCCCCACATAGCCAGTCAAGTGGTGATCCATAGAAACAGCCCTGATAGGACTAGGGAAGCTGGCCTCTTCTGAGGTGTTGGAGTTAATACTTCCAAAGTTTTCTTTTGAACCCAAGCCAAGAGAGACTGGGGCCTGCCAAAGGGTCAAGGTCAGAGACTTTCTCCATCCTACAGGGGCTGAAGGCAAAGGAGAAAGAAATGGCTGAGAGTGGAGGTGGGAGGAGTGTTGGGGGAAGCTTCAGTTTCCTGGGGGCTGGATGAAGACTGGACAGTGTTGAGCCTCTTGTTCTACAGGGAAGGGGGCTTTTCCTGTGCAGATTCTCTGAGGGCTGAAACAGGGTTAAAAGTGATGTGGGTGGAGAGGACTTCCTGCAGACCAGTGAGGTACGGACTTGAGGTGGACCTGAGAGGATCCTAGCTCTGCAGGACTTTGTGATAGAAAAGGCCCTGCTGACCAGCATATGGTCTGTGTGCACACGTGTGTTTATTTGACTTCGGAAGGCCGCAGTCAGCACCTGGATCTGCTCAACCACCGGAGTCCAGCTCCTCTCTTGAACTCTTGGTTTATCAAATCTGTTCTTTAATCGTTCCCTCCCTCCCTCCCACCTCTTTCTGGTGTCTGGATCATGTTTGGGTCTGACTTCAGCTGAAGCTGTATATACACTCCTGAGAGAGATCTAGTACCAAAGAAGTCAGAGGGAGCGCCTGTTCAGAGCTGACTTAGGGTTTCTCTCCTGTCCCAAGGCTCACCATTAGCCTTTAAAAAGCCTGACTGGGCAGTATGTCAGTGTGAGCTCTGGCAGGAGGCCATCCGCTGGATTAGTCTGCCCCCATTGCCTCTATATGGTGAGCTTTTATTGAGCACATACTGTGTTCTCTGAGCATGGAGGCCAAGGTAAGCCAGGCATTGTCAGTGCCAGGTCCTGTGGTCCCAAAGGCCAGTCCAGCCGACAGGAACATTTAAGGTGGCACTGACCGAGGCTGGAGAAGCTGTGGCACAATGCCCTCTGCCTCTTGCCAAACTAATTGCACACTGTTAGTTGTAGGTCCCCTTAGCCTTAGTGTGAGTTGTGGGCTTGCCAACCTGTGGACTGACAGGTCCTATGACTTGGGCAAGGCAATTCCTTCCTTCCTGGGATGCTTGGAAGACTCAAATGAAGTTTTGAGTTGTGTAGGAGAGATGCTGGTCACATGTGTCTTCTGTTGTCTCCTCCATCCAAACTGGACTCCTCTCTTCCTGGACGCGGATAGAGTAGCAGGTGCCTGTTGGGTTTGAAGGATGTGATGGAGCAGGGTGGGGGCCATTGATGCTGTCAGTTCCTATTCAGATAGTCTTTATGGAGCCTGTCTGCCTGTGACAGGCTTTGTTGCACATTTTATTTCCTTTAATTTTCTTAAGAGCCTTGTGGAAGCTGCTTCACCATTTTACAGTTGTGGAAATTCAGGCTCTAAAGTAAAGCTTTTAGCCTTGAGTTTTATAGAATCATCTAAGTTGTTTCTTAAAAACGCATGTCTCTGGGACACAGAAACGGCTCAGGGGGCAAAATGCTTGTGGTACAAGGCTGATGGCCTGAGTTTAGTCCCAAGAACTTATGTAAAAGTGGAAAAAGAGAACTGACTGCACAAAGTGGTCCTCTGAGCTGCACATATGTGTATGGCGTGCGCACGCGCGCACGCACACAAACACTCGCACACACATAATAAAATCATAAAAATGCATGCTTGCCTTTAGACTGTTCCCTCAGAAGTCCTGGTTCAGTAGATGTGCAGTGAGGTCTAGATCTACATTTTGATTTGTATCCAAGGTGATGCTGATTTGGGCTGTCTCCAGGTCATATTTTAATAAATACTGATTAAGAGTTAGTGACTTGGGTGTAGATAGGGGAGGAGGTCTAACTGTGATCAGGCTGCATTGTATGAAATGCACAAAAATTTGATTAAATAAAAGTTAATGATTTGCCCAAGGGCACACAGCAGGAAGTGATCACTTTGAACCTGGGATTCTAGCCCCAAAGACTGCAGTGCACTATGCCAAGGAGTTGGGATTTTTGTGTTGGAAATGTGGTTTGCAATTCTTTCCCTACCTTCCTTTCTCCTGGCCCCTTGTGAGGATAAAATGAGATAAAATAGGGGAAAAATATTTTTCAAAATGTAGAGCTGGCATTGAACAAATACATGCAAATGAACAGCCGTGGGTGTGGCTGTTCACTTGAGCACCAGTGCTGGGAAACACTTGTTTCCCCTGAGGTGGACTGGAAAAGACAAGACAGTGGGCATTAACCTCTAGGGACACAGTTTGTGATTGAAAAGGGGCTGATTATAGTAGCAGGTTAGGGTAGGGGTGGGATTGTGAGGAGCAGGTGAACCACAGGCAGGAGAAGAATTTCTTTCTGTTCTGTGTGTGCCTGGATTCCAGAGCTCCTGATCTGGTAGGGGTGGGGTGGGGTGGGGTGGGGTGGAGGGAAGACTGGGTAGGGAGGGGAGCCTCTTTCTGCAATCGTTACAAAGTCCATTATGTGTCAAGCCTGCCAGAGGTGCATTCTTTAGATGTCTCCCTCAGACACACTGTTAACTGCTCCATTCTGAGATGACAGTTTAGCAATTACTAGCCTAATCATACCTAGTTCAGCTAAAGATTTCTGCTTCTTGGAATTCATCCTCAGGAAACCTTTGCCTATGTTCAGGAGGAGGCTTCTACCAAGATGTCTGCTGGAGAGATAGCCATAAACTAGTCAAAGAGGCCAAAAGAACGTCAGTGTCCAGTTCTAACAGATGACGGCAAAGCAAATGTTACTGTACTCTTGGAGGCCAATTATGAGCAGTGAGGGAATGCCAGACACCATGATGAGAAGATCTCTCAGATGTGCTGTGGAACTTCCCACAAAGCAGGCACACATGTTCTGCAGTTCCATCATGCCAAACACAAGGCAGCCACAGCCCAAACTAACATCATTATTTTAGGGAACAGCATACTTTCTAATACAGTGCTTACCCCTGGGAGACTCTTCTCCGCCCTGACTCATAGGGTGACCTTGGGTTTCCCAAGCCCCTTTCTTGGTGGGGAGTTGTCCTGGCTACTGTCTCACCCCGTGTTGGCTTCGGGTGGGTGTGCCTCAGGAGAGGGCTGAGAAAGGAATGGTGAGTCGCTTCTTTAAAATCACCATCTAAAGCCAGAGCGCTTTACCACTGTGCGCAGCACCTGCTAGACTTCCAAGAAATCTCTCAGTTAATCAATGACCCCTAGAATTCAAAGGTGAAAATCATGAAGGAACTGTCTCCCAGGTGGGTGTGCCTCAGGAGAGGGCTGAGAAAGGAATGGTGAGTTGCTTCTTTAAAATCACCATCTAAAGCCAGAGTGCTTTACCACTGTGCGCAGCACCTGCTAGACTTCCAAGAAATCTCTCAATCAATGACCCCTAGAATTCAAAGGTGAAAATCATGAAGGAACTGTCTCCCTAGGCAAGGTGCCTAGTCAAGGAGAGCACCTCACCATTTTGCTCTGGATGAGGCTTTGGGTGGGCCAGAGACAGGGGATAGATGTGGTGACTCTCCCAGAGGTTATCTCTGGCACACGCCTGGGCAGTCAGGGGTTAACCTGCTTTGTCCTGGTTGATGAATTCTGGAATCATAATCCATTAGCTCTGCCTGTGTGGAGTGAGGCCAGGCTAAAGCATTCAGATTGGTCTTTGTTCTGTGCCTTTGCCATCCCTGCCAGGGACAGAGGGGCTGTGGACACGCTCCCCCTCCCTGCCTTGACCAGACAATGAAAGGATCCTGGGGACTGTTTTGATTGCTGTTGATCCAAAAGCCTTCGCTCCTGGGGAAATATTGAGACTATGAAACGAATCATCTCCAGAAAGATCACCCCTGGGGCTCATACCTGCCTAGGCTAAAACTGTGGGGGTAAACTTTCTACAGGCAGCAGCAGCCATGGCCTGGGATGAAAAACATTGACTTCTGTTATCATTAATGTTAGAATCATTAACAATTCTTAGAAAATTGAAGGTGTTTTGCAAAATGTCCTCTATTGGGGAACCCCCTAACTGGGTCATAGTGTCTAAGTGGGATGTCTGTGCTCACACCCTGCAGGCTGCGCTACATGGTGAAGCAGTTGGAGAACGGGGAGGTTAACATCGAGGAGCTGAAGAAAAACCTGGAATACACAGCTTCCCTGCTGGAGGCTGTCTACATAGATGAGACACGGTAAGAGAGAAAGAGGAAGGTGTCAGAGAGGCAGAGCTCCAGAGAGGGAGGAGGGCAGAGCTGGCATGGGCTATGTGACAGGGACAAAGAGGGGAGGGCAGAGATACAGAGGCAGAAGCAGAGAGATGCAGAGATAGAGACACAGACTGTGTGGAGAAGGCTGGGGTAGAGCTTCGTGGTAGAGTGCCTGCCTTCATTCTTGGTACCCAGACCTTGATCCCTAGCACTGGGGAAGAAAGAAGGAAAAACAGCTATGACTTCAGGGGTGGAAGGGACCCTATGGCTCATCTAAATGTCTTCAGACTTGTGCTGGCCAGTATGGGAACCTCTGACCTTGTAGCTACTGAGTGCTTACAATGTGGCAAGGATGAACTGAAAAGTGTATGTAAGGGGGCTAGAGCGATGGCTTGGTGATTAAGAACACTGGCTGCTCTTCCAGGGGACCTGGGTTCGATTCTCAGCACCTACAAGGTGGCTAACAACTGTCTGTAACTCCAGTTCTAGGGGATCAAACACCCTCTTCTGATGTCTGCTGGCAGTGCACGACACGGACGCACTTACATACATGCAGGCAATACACTCATGTACATAAAATAAAAATAAATAAAATGTTAAAAAGTGTATGCAAATTATATGCTGGATCTTTTTCTATAATTTTATTATTATTTTTATTTTATGTGTATGAGTGTATTGCCTGCATGTATGTGAGCACACCCGTGTTGTGCAATGCTGCGGAGGTCAGAAGAGGGCTTCGGATTTCCCTGGAACTGGAGTTAAGGACGGTTCGCAGTCACCATGTGGGTGCTGAAGGATGGTTCGTAGCTGCCGTGTGGGTGCTGGGAATCGAACTCAGGTCCCCCACAAGAGCAGTCAGTGCTCTTAACCGCTGAACCATCTCTCCAGCTCCATATATGCTGGATCTTAATGACAGAAAAAAGATTATAAAATCTGTCGTTCATGAATTATATGTTGATTTATGTTGAAATAATATTTTGGAGGAATTGGCTTAAATAAAATTTATCATTATACGTTTCACCAGATTCTTTTTACCATTTTAATGCGGCTACTAGAAAAAGTTAAATTCTTTGTTGTTGCTTTTTGAGATAAGGTTTCATGTAACCTAGGTTGGTCTTGAACTTGCTACGTAGCCAAGGCTGGCCTTTGACACCTCTACCCACCAAGTGCTGGAATTATAGGCATGTACCACTACACCTGGCGAAAAATTTTAAATTTCATGTGTGCATCTTGCAATTTACTTCTTATGCATTGTGCTGCCCTGTAACATTCCTGGCAGATGGCATTTTGTTGCCTGCTTGGACATGTCCATAGAGATTCCTACTTTCTTATGCAGTGAACTATTTTATTATTGGAGCTGCTCCTTAGGAATACAGACATAGAAAGCTGTGGTAAGAGATGGGGCTGGAAAGATGTCTCAGTGGTTAAGAGCATGGGCTGTTCTTGCAGAGGACCTGGGTTTGGTTCACAGTACCCACACGGCAGCTAACGACTGTCCAGAACTCCAGTTCTAGGATATCTACACCTACTTCTGGCCTCCAGTGAGCGATATGGATGTACTTACATATATGCAGGCATGACACTCATACACATAAACTAAAATAAAAGATGGGGAGCCAGGGAGAGAGGTACTGATTGAGTGTGGCTGGGTACAGAGTTTCTAGGTGTGGAAGCATCTGCTTTCTTTCTTCTGTGACTCTCCTTCTGGTCCCCAGGCAAATCCTGGACACTGAGGATGAGCTGCAGGAGCTTCGGTCAGATGCTGTGCCTTCAGAGGTGCGGGACTGGCTGGCTTCTACCTTCACCCAGCAGACCCGAGCCAAAGGCCGCCGGGCAGAGGAGAAGCCCAAGTTCCGAAGCATCGTGCATGCAGTGCAGGCTGGGATCTTCGTAGAGCGGTGAGGTTTGCGCATACTCAGCCTCTTCTGCCTCTAATGTGCCTTCCGTCCTAGCCAGCCTGATCTCACCCACCTTGGGACCGAGGCTTATCCACACACTCACAGCTGTCTAAATTCCTGCCCTCCAGTCTTTATCCCTGAGTTCTTCCATTCTCTCCTAGGATGTTTCGGAGAACGTATACCTCGGTGGGCCCCACCTATTCCACTGCAGTCCACAACTGTCTCAAGGTGACACCTGGGATTTTGGTCAAGAGGAGAAGGGGGTTGGAATAGCTATTGAGGTGTCTAGCCTCTGTTTATGGGGTGATTTTTACCTTCCCTTTTAACTACTGTTCCCATGTTCCTCCAAAAAACTTTTGCCCACTCCAAAGGCAAACTGTCTCTCTCCTACTGAGAGACACCTGGGATGGAAGAGGTCCACTTTACCAACTGTTTTTCTGTTTTACTGGGAAATCCTCCTTGAAGTACAACTGACCTTGTCACAAGGGAATGCTCAAGGGGAGCTTTCCTGCCTAGTTTGTTGCTTCTCCACAGAACCTGGACCTCTGGTGCTTTGATGTCTTTTCCTTGAACCGGGCAGCAGATGATCACGCTCTGAGGACCATTGTATTTGAGTTGCTGACTCGACATAACCTCATCAGCCGCTTCAAGGTTGGGCAGCATCCTACCTCGGCCTCCAGGCAGGACCCTTCACTCCTCTCTGCCCTGCCCTAAAATAGCCCCAACAGATAGAGTCCATAGCTCCTTCGTCCTGTCTCAGGGGCAAGGATGACACCCCCTGCCACCCCGTTCTAGCCTCTCCTGCAGTTGCTGTAGTCTGGCCTCTGACTTCACCAGCTGCTTCCTGAGTGAAGGTTCCAGGCCTGCAGGAGGCTAGCATGGGATGCTGCTCTTCCCCTTTGCCTCCCCAGCTGGCTTGCCCTCTTCTGGGCTGGCTGCCATCCACCTCCTTTTCTACTCCCGTCTGTAGATTCTGGAGCCCAATGTGTCAGCCTTTGGGATTAGAGTCTTTCTGTTTGTTCCCTGGGGGTGGGGAGGGGCCGGTGTGCAAAGTTGGGTACTCACTTCCAGCCTCCTGCTGAGGTCTGTACCAGGGGATTTTTCTGGAGAGGACCAGATTTGGTTAGTGCTGGGCAGGGCCATGTGCTTGGCAGAGAGGAAGAGTCTGCACCACACAAATCTGCTCCAGATCCTGTATCTGGGAACAGTGCCTGGGAGGGAGCTGGATGAGGAGCCCCTCTGGACATGGAGTGTGAAGGATTTCTGCACGGCCATGGGACATTTAGGTGACACCTAAATGTAGATGTTGGTGGAGTTGCAGGCCTCGGGGTGGGGGTGAGCTGAGCAGGCTGGGTGGAGGCTTTACCCAACAATCTTCTGCCTCACTTCCCTAGAACAGCATCTATGCCAGCCTCTTCCGACCCTTGACTTTTCCTCTTCCAACCACTCTCAAGAACTTCCATGACCTTCTGAACTGTTCAGCTGGGTTTTCCTCAGTGTCTTCATGACACCTGGCCTCCTGGACTTCCCTTATCCCCTTCTAAGCCTCTCTCTAAGCCAAGAATAGGAGAGCCCTTTCCCAGCTCCCTTTTCTCTATGCTGGTTCTCATTTGTACTTCATACCAGTGTCTCCCACACTCCCTCCTTGTGTGGAAGGACTGGATTGGGGGGCTCCAAGAACAGCTGTACTGGGTTAGGTTTGGCTGGCTTGTTCACCTTCTGCAAGGCAATCGGAGAAAGAGGTGTCCATTCCTTCCTGGTTAAGCTGCCTTCCCAAGCTCCCTGGTCTCTTCCTAAGTACCCTGGCCTTCCCCTCCCGGCTCCTCCCTTTCTCTTCTTTTCCCTTCCCTCCAGGGACACCATGGCAACGCAAAAGCAAAGGCAGTTGTCATGGAAACAGTCCTTTTAAATTCCCTGAATTTGGGGCACAGCCCTCCAGGGGTAGGGGTGGGATGTTAGGGTCTGACTAGTGGCACATCTTCTGTGTGTGTTGTCACTCTGCAGCTCATCTGCAGAGGCTTCCCCAAGTCCTGAGCCTGGGGGTCTCTTCCTGGCTTCTGGTGAAGATTTCAGTCCTGTCCTCTAGGAGTTTTGAGCTCCTGAAGGAGGGAGAGGTGCCCTAGGGCCTATATAGTTAGGGGACAGAACGGAGAGTGGCTGGACAGAATGCTGGTTCCTGGGGTGTGTGTGCATGTGCATAAGCTCTGTGGGTCTGGCAGGGTGCCTGGCACATGTGGAGAGGAGATGGTCAGGGAGGGCTTCTCAGAGGAGCAGATGATCCACATCTGCTGCAAGGGTGCTCTGCAGCTCATCTCACTCTTTCTCTGCTTCTGAGCCCTTTCCGTGGTATTGGATTGAGGAATGATGCGGGTGGTTGGAAGGTAGGAGGGAGGCTTTCTTTCCTTTTCTTAGAAATCACCAGGGAAATAATAATAATTATAGCTACTCTTCAGAGAGCACTTACTAAAGCCTTATACTTTTCTCATTAAATCCCAGGTAGGTGGTATTATCATCATTCTGCAAGTAGTAAGGCACAGGGAGGCATGTGACTTATCCAAGGTCACATAGGCTACAGGTGTTTGAGCCTAAATCAGAGCGCTGGTTCACCTGAGAGCAAAGCCCATCCATGCTAGCTGTCTGGGCCACTCCCAATTCTTTTTTGGGGGAGGGTAGAGTGGGGTTGAGACAGGGTCTCCCTATGTAGCAAAGGTTGGTCTGAAACTTGCAAACCTCTCACCTCAGCCTCCCAAGCGCTGGGATGACAGGCAAGCATCACCATGCATGACTGCCTTGTAAAGAATGATGGGATTGCTCTGTCCCGTCATTCCTGCAGAGCCTTGATGTCTCTATTCCTCCTCCTTCCTGCAGATTCCCACTGTGTTTCTGATGAGTTTCCTGGAGGCCTTGGAGACAGGCTATGGGAAGTACAAGAACCCTTATCACAACCAGATCCATGCGGCCGACGTGACCCAGACAGTCCACTGCTTTCTGCTCCGCACGGGCATGGTGGTAGGTGCCTGGCCACACTCTTGCTGTTTGTGGTCTGTGGATCCAGAATTGGGAAGCCTTGGTTATTTGCCTCTCTCTGTCCTTGGTGTCCCAACACCTGCAGAGTCAAATTGCATTAACTTTCTCTGGAGAATTTGCAGATGTACCAACACTTCTTGGGCACTGCTGGTGACAGACTCTGGGGTGCAGTAGGGATAGGGCAGCTGGGGATGGAGAAAGGTCCCTGGCTATTCCAAGAAACTAGCTTTGAGTGGACTGTGAGCAGAGTGCTCTAGCTGCGAGGGAGGTGTCTGGGCAGTCTCTGGCAGAGGGCTGACCCTTGCTCATTCCCTGCCTCTTCCCTTAGCACTGCCTGTCAGAGATTGAGGTCTTGGCCATCATCTTTGCTGCAGCCATCCACGACTATGAGCACACAGGCACTACCAACAGCTTTCACATCCAGACCAAGTGAGCAGTGGGACATGGTGGGGGCAGGAGGGGCCATGGCTGCCAGTGGAGCCCTTTATAGGGGGCTGGGCATGACAATGCAGCTTCACAGGTCAGAATGTGCCATCCTGTACAACGACCGCTCGGTGCTGGAGAATCACCACATCAGTTCTGTCTTCCGCATGATGCAGGACGACGAGATGAACATTTTTATCAACCTCACCAAGGATGAGTTTGTGTGAGCAGAAGCTAGCACATGGCATTCCTGAGACCCTCTATCCCAGCCCTCGTTCCCCACATCCTGGATCTCCTGCCCAGCAGTGCTGAGAAGGCTGGTCTCTTCTCTTTTCACTTAGAGAGCTGCGGGCCCTGGTCATTGAGATGGTGCTGGCCACAGATATGTCCTGCCATTTCCAGCAAGTGAAGTCCATGAAGACAGCTCTGCAGCAGCTGGAGAGGTGGCACATGGAAGGGTGTGGGCAGGACCAGGCCAGAGGGAGGGGCTGGCGAATCTGTGTATACCCTAAGTAGTGGGTGTGCCAGTTTTTACCTGGGTGGAAGAGACTCCTGGCTCTAGGCACTCATCTGAGTGTACCTGTGTGTGTGTGGTGTATGTGAATGTGGCCTTGGGTTTATATCCAGGCTTGGTTTTTATGCAGCTGCTCTGATGGAGAGCATTGGCTGGAGGGGGATTCTTATCACAGCTTCAGAACAGGCTTCTCTGGGATGTTGGGAAATTCATTCAACCCTTTGGGTCTTGTGTCTGTGACATGACAACAATGAGTGACCCCCTCCATGTTAGCTTCTAGTCTAATAAGGCCATTGGGAGAGTTGTGTGGGGTTAAAAAGAACACAAAGTCAGAACAAATGTCATAATTATATCTAATGGTGTTTAGAAGTGGCTGGGAATATACAAATGCGTGTAAGAAAGAATGGGCTCTGTGTCCTGGTGTGTGTGTGTGTGTGTGTGTGTGTGTGTGTGTGTGTGTGTACCTCTTTGTATAGTGTCTGTGAATAGAGATGCTGGGTCACAGCAGGCCGTTGTTGGGGAGTAATAACAAGAATCATGATGATTCTTATCGTAAATAACATCACTAAGTGCACATTATGTGTCAGACACTCTTCTAAATACGTTACATGTCATTTAATTCTCCAAGCAACTCAATATGTGGTAGGGTTGTTATTTCCATTTCTGGGTTGAAGAAAATGAATTATGGACATTTTCAGTCACTTGCTCAGTGTCTCACAGCTAGTGCGCTGAAGGTGTGTGGGGGAGTCAGATCTACGCCCACTGATTCTAAGAGCCTGAGTTTTCAGCTACTAACCTATGCTCCTTCTGTACAACTACAGGTGTGTGTGTGTGTGTTTATAAGTGAAACCTCAGAGAGTGTTTTGGGGTTTTATGAAAGGATGTGAAGGGAGTGTGACTGGAAGTTAGAGAATGGCCCAGGCTTCCTTTTCCTAGATCATTCTCAATATCTTCCTGAACCAGGATCGACAAGTCCAAAGCCCTGTCTCTTCTGCTCCATGCTGCTGACATCAGCCATCCAACCAAGCAGTGGTCAGTCCACAGCCGCTGGACCAAGGCCCTCATGGAGGAGTTTTTCCGCCAGGTATGATGGTGCCTGTCTACCTCTGCCCATGGGCTTTCTTACTCCTTACTTTTCAAGTTCTCTATACCTGCTCCAGCTTTATCCAGCTTGTTCCTGACCTGGCCCCAAGCCTGTGGTGTCAAGTCTCTATCTTCAAAGCTGAACACTGGCTGCTTCCATTTACGCATCCCTCATTTCCAAATCAAAGGGGCAGCAGTCCTCTCCTCCCATAGCAGCCCCCCTCTACCCCAGCCCTACCAATCAGGCAGGTCTGAGGTGTCCTCTCTCCTCAGGGTGACAAGGAGGCAGAGCTGGGCCTGCCCTTCTCTCCACTCTGTGATCGCACCTCCACCCTGGTAGCCCAGTCCCAGATAGGTGAGTCTGAGAGGAATGGGAAGGGAAAGGATGCTATCTGAGCCTGGCCAGGCTCGTTCCCAGTCTCCAACTTCCTAAACCACTCTTCTTACTGAAACAAGGATGCTGGGCTGGGGTGCGAGGTCCTGTGACTGAGGCCAGCAGCTGCATTGGCAGACACCATTGTGTCACCTCTTCACTATTTTACCTGCAGTTGGGGCTTAGAACCACGTACCCTCACAACTACCTGCATCCTCTGCCCAGCCTTTCAAGTAAGACATAATTTCTTGCCCCCTTCCTACAGGCTTCATTGACTTCATTGTGGAGCCTACCTTCTCTGTGCTGACTGATGTGGCAGAGAAGAGTGTGCAGCCCTTGGCAGATGATGACTCCAAGTCCAAAAGCCAGCCCAGGTGAGTGTGGCCTGGGTAGCCACGTGCCCTGGTTCTAGGAAAGGGAAGTTGGACACATAGAGAGGACCAATTCATGGGAGGACACATAGCTAAGGATGGGTGGTAAGAAGGCAGGCTGCTCCAGGTTTGGGAGCCCCTCTGCTGCTTGTCACAGTCAGAGCTGAAGGTTGTCTAGAAGGGTGGGGCTTCTCTAGGCTCCCTGCATTAATTTAGGTGTCTACGCCAACTTTCAGATAATCCTAGAGGAAGGGGTTCAGCTGTGGGAACTTGGGGGTACCAAGAAGAGGGAAAAGAGACCTTGGCCCCCTAAACTTCCTCCTAGCCTTCCTTTCCTCCACACTGAGAGTTATGAAGTGTGCTCTGGAGTGGGCTGGGTCTTACATCTGGAAACGGGTGGGGGTCCTGCTTCTAGCTTCCAGTGGCGCCAGCCTTCTTTAGATGTGGATGTGGGAGACCCCAATCCTGATGTGGTCAGCTTCCGCTCCACCTGGACCAAGTACATCCAGGAGAACAAACAGAAGTGGAAGGAACGGGCAGCAAGTGGTGGGTGCATATGTGTGTGTGTGTGTGCACGCGAGTATCTTGGGGCTGGCTGCTGGAGCAACAGCAGTCCATTTTGGTAGGCCCCAGGCAACTCTTTGATTCCTAGAACTGGGAATGGAGCCAATTAGATCAAGGTTAGGAGGGCATAGGAAAGGCTGACTGGTTGAATGGCCTGGACTGTTCTAGAATGAGGGCTGGCGAGAAGATAGGAACTGCCACAGTACTCTAACTCATGAGATTCTGTACACGTGGTCAGAATGTGTGCACATCACATCGTGAGTCTCCAAATGGTGCCCCTGGAGTTTTGGATAACTCAGTATTCTGGCTCTGCACTGGGAGCAGGGCTGTGAGTTTCTCAGGTGGGAGGAGTGGAAGGAGCTCAGCTTGGAGGCAGGTGCTGGAAGAGAGTCTCCTAATTTTCTTCACATATACCTTGGTTCTGGAGAAACTTCTTGATCTGACATCAGCTTCCCTGGAATCTCCTGCAGGCATCACTAACCAGATGTCCATTGATGAGCTGTCCCCCTGTGAGGAAGAGGCCCCACCTTCCCCAGCAGAAGATGAGCACAACCAGAATGGGAATCTGGACTAGCTAGGGCTGGCCAGGTGAGCTGGGGCTGGCCAGATGAGCTGGGGCTGGCCAGGTGAGCTGTAGGCAGGTGGGTAGCTCAGCCAGCCTCTCCTTAGGTGGTTCCTCTTTGGGCTCTGCTGAGTAGGAAGTTCTCTTCTATCCTGGCAGTAATGTGGGGAAATAGAGGCATAGGACTGAGCCAAGGTGTGGGTGGAAGCAAGGGATTCCTGCCACCTTCTTTGGTCCTATAGTTGTTGTAGGAAAAAAGGACAGCCCAGGCGGGGTGACACATGTGCCAGGCTTTGAAATGAGCACCAGGAAATGAGCACGAGGCTCAGTGAGGTTAAGTGAATGACTTCTATTTCACCCCAGCTCACCCTTGGTGGCTATACTTCTGAAAGGCATTTGTACATAACAGTACTGGGGCCTGAGTGTGGCCTGGCTGGAACTTGGAGAAAGTTCAGACTGGAGATGAAGGCCAAGAACAGAGCATGGAGGCATCTCCTTTTTTCCCCCAGGTCCTCACTGAGTCCAGAGTCTTCGATGTCATTAGCACCATCCATCAGGACTGGCTCCCCCATCTGCTCAAGGGCGTGTGGAGGTCGTGGGAGAGACAGCCCACCTGAGAAGGCCAAATGCTAGAGCTGGTGGGGTGGGGGAGGGCCCCTGCCTCTCCCCACCTGACACCCATTGGGGCACAAGCCTGGGGAACCACAAGTCCCCAATGGTCACTGTGCCCACCCCTGCCTCTGGACTCCCCTCCTGGCCAGGTGGCTTCCTGGGAGCAGGGAGCTTCTCGCAGGCTTCCTAGGGCCTGGAGGGGAGGGTCAGAAATGCCAGCCCCCTGGGCCTGCCCCCTCCTTCTTGCCTCCAAGTTTCTAAGCAATACATTTTGGGGATTCCCTCAGCCCCCCGTCCCAGATCTTAGCTGGCAGGTTTGGGTTTCCCTTCTCCCCTAGGAAGGGCCGGAAAGCCCTGTGTGGGAAGGGCAGGGTACCATCCTAGGATAGGGTGGGGGGTATCCTCTTGACCCCACTGCACTGCTCCAGCCCCACTCTCTGCACACTCCTCTTCTGTGCCCAGACAGTGGCTGGGGAGAGGAGCCTTCCTGGGGTCCTCCGGAACTTGGGGCTGGTCTGGTTTTGAGGAATTTGTCACCTGTCCTAGCCGAGTCTCCGGTCCTTTGCTTCCTTCCTGTCCTCTGGGACTAGGAGGCTCCCATCCGACTAAAGAACTTGGGGCTGGTCTGGTTTTGAGGAATTTGTCACCTGTCCTCGCTGAGTCTCCAGTCCTTTGCTTCCTTCCTGTCCTCTGGGACTAGGAGGCTCCCATCCGACTAATGTCTGTACATGCTTTGAGGTCTTCCCAGCAAAGCACCTTCAGGATGTATCTTATGTGTCTGGGAAGGAGGGTGCCATGGGCCCAGGTGCCAGTGGGGTGAGGTATAACCCAGCAATTCATGTTGCCATAGAGTGGTTCTCTCCTGCCTCCCTTCTTCCAGAATTGGCCCACCAAGAGACCCCTTCCCCTGGGCCCCTGGTGGGTGGAAGGCAGATTGGGGGCGGGGCTTAGGGCTGCCCTGATGTGGAGCAGTGGAGCAAGCCCAGTCAGGTACAGCCCCTTCCTGGCCTCAGGCTCCTCACCCCACTGCACCCAGGAAAGGCCGAGTCCAGGTGACTGCCTCCTCCTTTCTTGTAAATACCAGCCATGCATTTGTACAGTGGGCCCTGTTCTCGTGAAGTCCATTTCCACGGTCTCAGACCTGCCACCCTGAACCGCATGTGACTCCTCCCTGCCTTTGGTCTCCCAGGCCCATGCTATAGCCAGAGATCAATAAAGAAGGGAGACGGGCTGGCTGTGTGTGGTGTTCACAGGTGGATGTCCTCTCACATGTCTTTAGAGTTGTCTTCTAAGCTGGACAGAGTCTTACGCTGTTCTCCCTGTGTGCCTGAGGAGGGCCCAGGTGAAGCTTCCCTTCACTGCCCAGTCTCTGCTCTTTGGAGCTGTGCCCACTGCTTCTGGGCAGAGAGGGTGAAAGAATCTTTTCTTCCCTCATTCCCTCTCCTCCATTCTTTGGGAAAATCAAAATCCCAAGGAGGAGAGCCTGGCTGGGATCAGAGGCCATTTCTTCACCTGTGCATGGGCTTGTCTTGCCCTGACCTCAGTACTTAGGGCAAGGGGAGAGGTGACCCTTCCGGTTCCTAGCTACTGTGTTCTCTGTTCATCTTTGCGATCAGGTTGGAATAAGATACAGTGGCCACACAATTGGAGGCCAGACAAATCCTCTCCCTCTTCCTCAGGGCCCAGGGACAGGGTACACTTCCTGCTTCTGTCCAGCAGACAGCAGCATAGCACAGGCATAGCTGTGCTGGGAACCGGTTTTAGATCTCTAAGTCTCCCAGCTGCCAGAGAGCAACTGCTAGGTGGGCGGAGGTTTCCTCAGAAAGGAGAACCTTGGGGTGACCTCCTACCTGGCTCCTGTCTCTCTTCTAAGCAAGTAAAGGCAGGTGAGGAGAGTCCTGTTGTTTTTTCTACATTCTCCTTCCCCTAGCTGGTCCTGAGGGTGGGGGCTGTGGAGAGTGCAGGTGAGAGCTGGGGAGGAAGGGCTCCCCAGCCTGGAAAGAAGGAAGGCACCAAGGACCTAACACCAAATTTATCACTTTTTAAAAAGAGATTTTTCCCCAAAAGTGAAGAAATAAGAAACATCCAGTGTCCACGGGTTCCCACACTGCAGTGGTGGTGCCAGGATACCAACTCCTTTCAGACCTGTTGCAGGGGAGGGGTGGAAAGGAAGGTGTCATAGGAAGGGACACAGCTCACACTCCCCTCTGGTCCACCCTACCATCCACCATCTGGGACAGCCTAGTCTGCTGTGGATCTGTCTGCCCCCTGTTCCTCTGGGCAGGGGAGTGAGGAGTATTTCTGCCTTCAGCTCAGGTCACTCACAGTCTGGGCAAGTGAGGAGCTTCTTTTAGGGTCCAAATGACATAAGAAAAGAAACAAGAAAAACAGAACACACAAAACCCATGGCCTACCTCTATCACTTGTCCCAGATGGCCTACACAAACTCTCACCTCAATCCCTCCTGCAGCCACCTAATCCCCTCTCCGTCAGGGGAGAGGAGTGTTCTCTCGCTATAAAGGCTAACTTCTCAGTAACAGCAGCTGCCCCCTTGTCTACTTCTCTGGTTCCAAGCCCCTGGCCTTACTGCTACAGTCTGTTCTGCTGCAGGCCCTGAAGCCCAGCCCTGGGAGCTTACCGGGCCGACTCCTTGGGAATCCAGTGGTGGCATGTGGACTGAGGGGTTCTCTGTGCTGGGCTCCACAGTGCACCGCTCCTGAGTCTTAGGGGTGGATTCTGCAGGCTCTAGGGAGGGAAAGTGGGGAGCTGAGGGAGCAGTGACCCTTATAAAGGGGCTGCTGCAGAGAAAGGGTCTGGGACCCACTGGCAGCAGACAACTGGGTTTCTCTGTTACTATGATAGGTTCACTATTATTATTACCAATAACCAGAGATTGAAAAAACAACAAAAACAAATTCTCTAAAAAACGTTTTAAAATGGAAGCTGGGTGTGGTGGCACATGCCTTTAATTCCAGCACTTAGGAGGCAGAAACAGGCAGATCTCTGTGAGATCAGGGCCAGCTTAGTTTACATAGTGAGTTCTAGGCTGGCTGGGGCTACAGGAAGACTGTGTTTCAAAAATAACAATAAAAAAATTAAAAATTGGGATACAAACTCAGGTAAAGCTAAACCTGATCTGAGCTGTAATGATTCTATTTTTACTCTTTATTTATCCCAATTAGACCATTCAGTGGAAATATTAATGTGTTTGATTACAGAACGCTCTTGTGAGTGTGATGTAACATGCAGTGTGTGTACTGCATCCATTTCATACAGTTGGAGATGTGAATTCTGGAGCACATCTGGGAGAAGGACTGTGGCTGTGGATTAACACCACCAGCATCACATTCCCTGTAGATGTCAGGTGCTGAGCCAGACTCAACTGGGATACCCTGAGATAGCCCAGCGGAATAGGCACCAGTATTATCACAGCTGTTTTATAGACTGGGGTTAAGCTGCTCAAGCTGCTCTGCTGATCAAGGGGCCATGAGTAATACAGTCAGGACTGCAGCCTTGGCTCCTTTACAGGGCTGAGTGCTGTTCCCATTCTGATGGGGTTCCCCCCTTCCCTAGCCACACAGGATCTCTGAGGTCTAAGGTGGGAGTTGGCTCAGAGGTGTGCAGTCAAAGTGAAGATTCAAACACATCTGATGTGTGGAGTACATCTGTGTGCTTGAGTGGGCTTTTGGGTACTATTCCATCTCTCCCAGGCTCCAATCCACCCCCTCCCCCAGTGGGTAAAGCTTGTCTTCTGCTAGGCTGGGGAACAGCATTCTGGGCCCCTCCCAAGCTTGTACATACTTTGTGCTGTCCCACAGGTGCCCAGCCGTGACGCCGTGCCAGAGTCTGGGATCCCAGGTGGGCAGGACTCCTGGCTCCCTGAGCTCTCGGTAGCTCCCTCAAGCTCCTCTCCTTGCTTCTGTTGCCCTAGGTGATGCTCAACCATTGTCTGGAGCTCTGGGGGCACAGAGAAAGGCAGGGAACATTGGCCACGACTGCCTAGAATCTCCCTGTTGTCCCCCAAATCCAACAGCCTCGCTACTATTGAGTCCATGGGCATTGCTGGGTGCTTGCCTTTCCCATGGGCTGAGATCCAAATGGGGAAGGGGCATTGTCTGGGCAATAAGGAAAGCTGAATGCTAGAGCACAAAGGCCCTTCTTTCAAAGGCAAGGGAGGTGAGGGAAGAGCCTTTAAGGATACAAGACACTTAAGGTGCTGGGACTTGTGGTCTCCCATAAGGGTAGGAGAGAAGACTTAATTTAGACTCAGGGACTATTTGAGTACCTTTCAAGTGCTGTGTTCACATATACTGTTTATCTGTCATAGTGAGGAAGTGGTATTCAGACTCAGTTTCACCAAGGTCACCTACTGTCTGTGGCAGATCTGGGGTTCCAGGCCCTCTTCACTCATCAGCAACAGCTCCATTCAAGGCAGACCCAGTGATGCCATAAGGCCTCCCTCCAAAGGGTCACTGGGTCTCCGCCTAAGCTTCAGGCACAGAGGGGCAAATGGGAAGGGGCTGCCGAACCTTTCATGGTGGGTGTGGTCCGTGTCATCTTCTTCCGTTGCCGTGGAGACATTGACAAAGTGGACTGCGAAGGACACAGAGCCCGGGTGGGTGCCAGCCCATTCCACCTTCCTCCTCTGCCTTGGCATGCTTTTGGATTAGTGATGGGGTAGGTGGGTATCAGGAGTTGGAGATGGTTTCTGCTGCTTCCACAAGGGTAAGGTGGCAGATGGGCATGTGTAGAGGCGTACCCAAATAGCCTTTGGCAGGGGGTGCATGGAAGAGTGCTTCAAAGGTCCTACAGGGCTTTTGTTTTTAATGCTAGTGAGTGAACTTAGCCTGTATATGCTAAGTGTGTGCTCTCCCACTGAATCTGGAGGGACAGGGTTTGGCTTCTTGGGGCTGGGCTGAGTAGGAGAGGCCAGCTCACCTTGAGAAGTGGGTTGGGGATCCGGTCTTCATCTACTTCTGGGGGAAATAGGAAAAAGCAGTGAGGAGGAAATCCAGGGGCACCCAAAGAGCTGAGTTCTTTTTGGTCTTTTTGAGATAGGGTCTCCCTGTAGCCCAGCTGACCTGACTGGAACTCACTATGTAGACCAGGCTGGCCTTGAATTCACAGAGATCCGCCTGTCTCTGCCTCCCAACATTCTTTTTGAGTTTCCCCAGGAGCCTGGCCTACTCCCTCCCCTCCCCCATCCCTCTGCACTGCTGCTTGGTTCCAGCTAGGACACTATGACCAGTCTGGGCCGGCATCCTGGCCCCAGGTCTTAGGTCCCTGAAGGCAGATTTGTGGTTCTTTTGCTTTTCCTCCCTCTGCAGTACCCAGGTCTCTTTCTCCTTGCAGTCACTCTCCCACCCGGAGGCCAGAGCTGAGCCCTCACAGGAGCAGGGCTCCCAGAGAGCAACAAATTTGTTCTGGTGAGGGCCCACAAAGGCGCATCATTTATGGAAGCTGGGGCCGGGGGCGGTGGGGGTGAACGGACAGGGAGCTGGATACCAGGTCTATTTCCTTAGCCTGGCCATCTCTCCTCCAAGTACCCCTGACATTCTCCAAGCCATTGTTCCTTCTCTAGACCTTAATGGGGACTCTAGTGACCAGGATCCCAGCTGCTTCCTGAGCTGTTTCTAACCTTCCCCTCTCGGGGCCTGACTAGCTGATGGAGGCGGTCCCTCCCCCTCACAGCTGTCACTGCCTTGAGGGTGGGGGCAGTGGCATCTCAGTTGCTGGAGAAACCTAGAAGGTTGTTGCCACAGCAACCAGCACTCAGTTGACCATCCCAATTACCCCCCCGGGGGGGGGGCTTAGGGAGCAGGTGGTCTCCTTCCCTCCTAGTATAGCTCCAGCTTTCCAAAAGTAAAAGAAATCCTGCCAGCCTGAGGGGAACCCTACTCCTCAGGTCTGCTCTTACTCTCTCAAGCATCCACCCCTGCTCACGGGGACCCCCTTCTTCCAGGGACCCACCCCGTTAAGGTTACCTGGAGATGACTGGTCACTGGTCAGCACGAGGGTGGCAGGGGTGGGGCGACGCCTCCGAATCTGGGTTGGGGTAGGAGGAGGAAGAGGTCAAGTATACCAGGAACACCATCCAGAACAGCCCACTTAACATCCCTCAAAAAATGCTATGTTACCCTGCAGTGTTGTTGGCCCATTTTCCTCCTGTGGGGTGAGCTGTTTCTGTTGCCCTGAGACCACATGGGCTATCTGCATGCCTCCTTCCCTTCATCACCTCCCACCCATGCCTGCCCAGTCCAGTTCTCCTCTCAGCTGCTCTGGTCACTCTGCACATCGATCTCTGGCCTGTTGTCCTTCCGTCCATCCTGGATCAATGGTCAGAAATAACTGGAAAGGGCAGAAGGCTTTCTCTCAGCCTTCAGCCCATCCCCTAAGCAGACATTAACCTTTGGTGAGCCTGTGCCTGCCTGCAGAGGGGCTCCCTCAGGCCCACCATTCCTGAAGGAAAAGCTCAGTGCACCTCTCCCAAGGCTACTGCAGTCCTGTCACTCCCAAAGGTCTCCCTAGCCTTGGACACACTGGCTTTTTGAATGGCCAAGGAATAGGGGAGCTCTTCCTCATGGTGACTAGGCTATGAGGAGGGGTTTTGGGTGGGACCCTGGAAAGTGTAAAAATCCACTGAAGTCTTATCCTGGGCCTCAGGTTCTAGTCTAAGAAATCAACATATAAAGCTGATTGGCTGTTGAGGTGCTGACTGAATCCCCTCCTGATGCTCTTCTTTTGTCATGCGGTCCATAAAGTTTGGTTGTTGTTGAATTCCAGATTCCCTTTCTGGAGAAGATTTAGAAGACACTTGGCACCATGGGAGCGGGGCCCCTGAAGCTCCCTTCAGGGCAGGTGTGCCCAGGAAAGGTTAAGTGCCCTGGGAAAGTGGGGAGCAGTGGGGTGAGCACCCCAATGATCGGATTCTGATCTGTGTGTATCCATCATTTAGCACCATCGCCACTGGTGTGGAAGCTGGTGGGGGGAGGGCAAGATGCCTAGAAAGTGGTTATAGTGGGAGGGGGTGTCTGAACTAGAGAGAGGACTCTTCCCAAAGGAAAAACGAGTATGTATGGAACGGGGATACGTGGGGGTAGGTCATCATGTCAGGAAAAATCAGTGGCATCTGTTTTTAGTGACATTTCAAGGTCTCCAGCAGAGCCAGACTTGTTTGTGTGTGTGTGTGTGTGTGTGTGTACACATGCATTTACAAATACTAGATGTGCGTTGTTTCTGACTGTTCCTGGTACAAATCAGGGAGGCGCTCCATGTATGTGGGAGGGAGACCACCCCTTTGCTAGGGGTTGACACATCACCTTCCTTTTGCCCTGGGTGGGGGTTGTGGTGGTGGCTGGAGAGGGGTGGAAGTGACAGGGACAGGATGGGGTTGGGATTAGTGGCTTGACAGAACACCTGCACTGAGTCAGGTCTTTACCTATGATAAAAAGAGGTCAGCAGGGTTTTGTGAGGTTGGACGAGTCCCTTACTTGACTTACTTCCTTGCCCTGGACAGGGATTGAGCACCTGAGTCCTTGAAAACTGTGATATCGCAGAAGACAGTTAAGCCAGACTCCTTGAGTCACAGGCATCCAAACTACCAGGAAACAGATAGATGCTCTTTCCTGTTTCTGTCCTCATATCCTAGCTCTCAAGGACATTTGGTTCCTCTGCCTCTGCTTTATTTCCAAGTCATGTGAAGGTTGTGGTGGTCAACACCCCTGCCCACTCTGCTCCGCCCCAAATGGGGCTGGGGTTGGAGGTCCAGGCATGCTTGGAGCTTTTCCCTGCACACATAGTAACACAGCAGGAGGGGCTGGGGGCAGACTTTCAGGCCCAGGAGGTTTCTGGACTAGAGAATAACAGGCCTGAGTACTAGCTCTCACTCTGCTGTAGCTCCCTAAGACTGTCATGTGCCCTCCCTTGCCCCCAGCTCCCTAGACCAGCTGGCTTGCCATCCCTACTCCCACCTGCTCCAACAGAAGCAGGTGTCCAGGCCCCATCTGCCAGTGGGAGGCAGCTCTCAGAACCTTTGGCTCCCACAGTCTTGGACCCCTTTCCCTGGGTCAGAAGTCATCTTAGCTAGTCTCCTGTCTCTGCATATAGGTCTTCTCTCTGAGCAAAGGGGGCGCTGCCCATCCTCCTCATCCCGGGTGTAGGAGGTCTTCATGCACACTGCTCCCCCAGAACACCTTCTAGCTCTGGAAATGCCACTGGGTCCCCAGGCAGGAAAAGGAGGGGTTAGGACACCGCCCCTTCCCTGACCTAGGAAGCAAAGTTTCAGAGAGGGCATCTGCCTCTTCCCTTTCCATTCACACAGCCTGTCTGACAAACAGCTGGAGCACTGTGGATGCCTCTCTCTCCTGCCCAGCTGAGTCTTTCGGGTGGGGGAGGCTGGGCGGAGCCCGGTAGTGGTTGGGGGCTGGAACCCTGGCCTGGTGGGAGCTGGATGCTCCTAGGAACCAGGTCTCCACATGGCCAGGGAGTGAGAAAAGAGAGGGAGCTACTCGTAAGCACGCCGAGATTTGGCAGCCGGGCGGCAGGTAGTAGCTTTCTCCATACGCTCACTGTCGCTGAGACACACTGCTCACACTCACACTGCCGCCTCTGCCAGGCTGTTCCGAGCTAAAAATAGGCCAGGCCAGGAGGCTGGGCCAGGGCCCTGCACTCCCACCCGGTGAACCAAGCTCTCTGTGGCTCGCTTGCGGCTCAGCTGGGACCCCAGCCCTAGACAGCAGTCACCTCCCGCCAGCGGCGTGGTCCGCATCCCACCCCTACTCCCCACTCCAAAGGGCAGGAGTTAGAACCAGCACCCACGTGCTCCGACTTGCAGAAGGGAGCCCCAGCTTGCAGACCCCAGCCCTTGCCCTCCTCTGTCCTCAGCCCCTGGGGTTCCACTCTCCGTGCCCCGCCAGGCGCGAGGTGGCTCAGAGGGGCGGAGAGCTGTCTCGTCTTCCCACTCGCCGCCCCCCGCCCGGCGCTCCCTCCCCATCGTACCCTCCAGCTCGGCGCCCACACCCAGCTCCGAAACTCTGGGGGCGGGGGTTGGCGGGGTGGGGGGACGCAAGGTCGCCCAGGGGGGAGGGGTCCTGTTCCTAGGGGTAGGCTAGGAGGGAAGGACGCTCTCCGAGACATCACCGGGACCGGCTAGACCTCGCGCCCCTGTCAGAGAAGCTTTGCTGGGGAGAGGCGGCTCCGCTGGTGGGGGAGGGGATGGAGACCCCCGAACTGAGCGAGTGCGCGGGGGAAAGGCTGTGCTGCGGGGGGTGGGAGGATGAGGTAAGGTTGCGGGTCCAGCCGCCGCGCCCTGCCGGTACCTGCTCTGCCGCCTCGGGGTCCAGGTGAGGCTCCAGCAGCGGGACGGTGAACTGGATCTTCCGCGGGCTGTTGTCGGGCTCCATGGCGCGGCGGCCCCGGGGCCGGGCGGTGGGACTTGGGCTGGGGCGGCCGCGCTCCCTCTGCGCTGCGCTCCGGCCCCAGCCCAGCGCTCCGCTTGCTGCTCCGGGCTCGGCGCGCCGGGCTCGGCCCGGGGACTGTGCGGCAGCCCATTGGCTCCGCACCGCCCCTCCCGGTCCCCTCCCTCCCCAGCCCGGAGCCTTAACCCCATCGTGGCTGAGCCGTCGGCTTCGCGGGTCACCGTCCCTCGGGCCAGACTCCTGAGGGTCGCTGTCCTAGGCGACACCAGGACGGGCACCTGGGTATCCTAGGAGCTCTGGGCAGGGAGTGTGTGTGGGGAGGGGGTCGTCAAGAGCCTCTACAATCTGGGGCAGTCTGGGAAAGTGGAAGGACGCTGCGGGGGAGGAAGAATTCATTTACCATCCAAAGGAGATTTTCACGCAGAGAAAAGAAGCACCGGGAATTTAGGCAGCAGGAGGGGTTAAGGTTAGCACCGGAGAGGACCTTTCCCTTGAGGAAAACACTAGAGTGGAGGTGAAAACTTGGAGGGGAGGTTGGGGTCTGAATCTCATCCAGTGCACAGTCAGGGCAGGGAGAGGAGGCAAAGGCCTCAGAGGGTCTCCAGAGCATAGCCCTTTGCAGTGGGAGTGGGTGGAGGGCTTGGGGAGAGAGGGCCATCTGGGGCACGGCAGGAGCCATGGGGGGTGAAGGCCAATCCTGCTTGTGAAATAGATTTCACTTTCTGCTTGCTTCATTGTGGGGCTGCAAAGTAGGTGAAAGGCCTGCAAGGGGAACTTTGGGAGGTGCGTGTGGGTGGGGGGGATGGGTTGGAAGGGGATGGAGAGGGATGCTCCTCTGGTGGGGTGGCCTGTTTACAGAGGCATTAGTGTCCACTTTCACTACTGGCAGAACAGTGAAAATGATATGCTATGATTGGAGGCATGGAAGTTAGACTAGTCAAGAACTTACTGGGTTGGGGTGGGACCAAGATGCCACTCAGTACTAACCGGTGAGGGAGACGGGATATTCATAGGAGCTGGTGTGCCCTGTGCTAGGGCTGGGATCATTGGACAGAGGCAGGGGAGTGCTGGGCACGGGGGATGTGTCCTGTTGGATTTGGTGGTGGTGTAGAGAGGAGCTGAGATAGGGACTGCGTAGCTGGAGGAGGGCAAGGCCAGGCCAGGAAATCAGTTCCTAATATTAAATTGAGCACCCCCCCAAGTTCCTTGCTGTTATAGTCTTAGCTCCTGGGGGTATTGGGGACTCAATCTTTCTGGCTGTAATGGGGCAGCTTTACCCATCAGCCTGGGTTTCCCTGGTCGGCATTTCCATGGCCCCTTCCCCTCTTCCCTCCCAAAATAGCCTCCCCTGTCCTCCTCCCCTAGGGATCTCTTTACATAGGCCGGCTCAGCTTTCTGCAGGGCGAGGCCAGGGTTGCAGCGACCCAGAAGGCCCTCCATTTGCTGTTCATTGGCTCTGTGTGCATTACTGGAACTCTGGGAAGGCTTCACTCCACCCTGCCCCCTCTCCTGGGCTTCTTGCTCTATTTGGGTAGCAGGGAAGCTGTTAAGTTGGCTGGGCTTCCCAGTTTCACTGGTCCCCAATGTTTGTGCACCCACACCCCAGAGGGGTGGTGAAGGAAGATGTGGGAAGCTGTTGAAGTTGGGGAGACTGGGTGATGGGGGTACTTTAGGGCCCAGCCTCTGGCTCCCTGGTTTTCCTCATCTCTCCCTCCCACACATACACCTAGAGACACTGTAATCTCTCAATAAGGCTGTTTCTGTCCCCTTGGCTTGTATGGAGGGCAGAAGGCCAGGTTCTCCATTCCTGCCTCTGGGGCTCACCCACATCTCCTTTGTAGTGTGAAAAACTCATGCCTCATATCTGAGGATCCATGGGGTAAGGGGCCTGGCCAGAGACCGACCCTACCTAATGGGGAGCTGGGAAAATCCTGGCTTGTCTCTTGGCAAAATCCCAGATTTTTCAGGTTCCCTTATCTGGGCTCATAAGATCCCACACTCATGGGGTCGCCCAGATTGCTTGGATCTCTTCCCTGTTCTTTTCTTTCTCTCAAGCTTTGACTCTGGAAATTCCTCTGGTGCCTCATACCTGTCCTCAGTGTTTCCTTCTCTGTCGACAGACTAACACCCCTTTACTCGAAAGCTCCAGGATAGGAGGGGGCCAAGAAAACTGAGGCTCTGGGGAGACCAGAAGAGTGGTCTTGGGCGCAGTGGGCCTGGGTGGGGGCAGAAGAGAGAGCCGGAGGGAGGTGAGAGCTGCCGGCCATGGCAAGGGTGAAGCCCTGGTGGGCCTGTGCAGCCTCAGCAGGAGAAGTGCAGCTGTGTCTGTGAAAGTGTTTGCTTGTTGCTCTGACCTTTGTGTCCTGAGCTGAGTACCATGCACCTGCTAGGTGTGTGGGAAGCAGTATAGGCTGCACACACACAGGGCTTGGGAGTTGTAGAGAGCCTGCCCCTGCCGGAAACGGAAACCCCTCCTAGCCAAGGAAGAGTGAGTCTGTGTCTTTCCCCACTCACACTTGCCTGTGAGGAGTGCTCAAGTGGGCATTCCCTGCCCCAGCCATGGCTGCAGAGCCACAGCTGTCAGGGCACACTTCTGGCTCATGAATATTTAAAGTTATGGGGGATGTGACTGAGGTCACCTAACTGCCCATTCTCCCTGCTCCCTGCCACTGCCCTCAGTTAATGGGCCACACCTTGTTTTTACTTAACCACTCTCCCCTGGCCCCACTAACTTTATAACTGAAAATTCTCACAACCAAGCCCGAGGGCATGCAACCAAGGTGGTAGAGAGAGGTAGAGAGATGGGGCCACCTGGGCTGGGATTCTGGAGGTAAAGTGCAGAACTTCTCTCTGCTACCAACACTGTGGGTGACTCTGGGATTGCTGTGGTCTCCCATGGGGGCTGTGACCTGCAGGTGTCATCCTATTCTATTACTCTGTTGTGAGTCACAGGTGAACCAGTCTCAGCTAAGAAGTCTCAGAGGTAGTATGAGAGTGAGGAGGACCTTACTTCCAGCTTCCAGCCACCCCGACCTGTCCAGGCAGCAGTGCACACGCCTGTGTGTGTGAGACACATGGTGCTCACACATGCCTGTGTACAGACTACACAGTTCTCCCATACTCCTGTTTGTGAAGGGCACAGTGCTCACACGCTTCTGTGTGTGGAATGTGATGCTTGCATACTTGCCCACATAGTTATTTGCACACATTTGCACTTACTTTCCTGTGGAGGAAAGGGTAGCAGCTGTTTTAAAAATTATTTATTTAATGTGTATGAATGTTTTATCTACATGTATATGAGGGCACCCGTGTGTGCAATGCCTGTGGAGGCCAGAGGAGTGTCTGGAACTGGGGTTACAGATGGTTGTTAGCTGCCATGTGGGTGCTGGGAACTGAACCCGGGTTCTCTGGAAGAGCAACCAGTGCTCTTAACTCCTGAGCCATGAAGCCCTTAGTAGCTGCTTTTAATTCCCAAAGGAGTAACAAGCCCACCTGAGTGTTCCCCCAGAAGCCACACGCTTATCCCAGGTGCTGTTTCTCTAGTCTTTCTGGAACCACCTCAGAGCTCCTGGCCTATGTTCTGAGCATCCTTGCTTGGAGAATGAGTTGCTGCTGGGGTGGCTTTGCTTTTTTGAAATTTCCTGTGTGTTAAGGGTAGAGTCTGTGACATAGGGAGGTGGGGGAAGGTGTGGGTAGTTCCTGAGACTTAGTCCCTCAGACCTCAAATCCCCATTTGGGTAGATGTGTGCACTCTCAGGTGACCTGGAAGAGGGTGCATTCTCTGACTGTGACTGCAGAAGGCCCATCAGCCTGTGAAAAAGCCCTTGGCTGCAATTCTGCCAGGCCGGGGTGACAGCTCTGCAGCTGGTACTCTGGAGAATGAGCCAGCACTGCTCATTCAAGCAGAGGTGTGCTCTCTTCCAACCACAGGTGGAGGAGACTTTGGGAGTGGCCATTCTTTGGGCTAGAGAGCAGAGGACACTTGTCCCAGGGACTGGTGTCACGAAGGGTTGCAGCCACAAGCCAGAGGTGGGAGCAATGGCAGGACGTGACCCCGATGACCTCTTGAGATACATGGGTGCCAGAAGACCAACCCATGGGTAGCTGCTAACCCCTGTCCTCTAACAGGTTGAATTGATCCTTTCAACAAACATTAACACATGCTAGGCAGTATGCTAAGCACTGTGGTTACTGATACATCTGAACTCAAAACAGATCCAGTGTCAGTCTCCTGACAGCTTTCAGCCTAGCAGGTGCAAGGGAGTGGTGGGGGCCCAAGTACTTCCATCCAGGACTGCCAAAAAGGGGGGGGACAAGATGCTATGGCTTCTGGGCAGCCAGTTGGAGGTCAGTATGAGCTTGGGCTGTTCAGATCCATGGGGTTACTTCCATACTTAGTTCTCTTCAGCTTGGAGGTCTACCTGGGTTCAAATTTCAACTCAGTCACTTAGCATCTCTGTGACCTTGAACAAGTTGCTTAATCTCCCTGAGCCTGAATTTCCTCAGCCTTAAAACTGGTCACATGAAGATAGAGGCAGAAATTGAGGCTGTGTTGTGTCAAGCCAAGAAACGGCTGGGGCCGCTGGAAGCAGGAAAAGGAAAGAAGAGCTGTCTTCCCTATTATAACGCATCCCTGTCATGGACAGAGAGGACTGGGCTGACTTGGTCCCCATTAGATGCTCTCAAATGTTTGCTCCTTTGGTGAGTCCCAAAGCAGAAGTGAGGAAGGGGATACTAGTACCTTCCAGAATTCAGGAGATGGGGGGGTAGCAGGGCACCCCTGCCTTTTTTCAGCCATGTCCTGCCCCTCCCCACAACTTGTCGGATCAGCTGTTTTTTTAATGTCCAACTGTGTCCTCATCAACATGGGTGATCATTCTGCCCTGCTAATTAACACCCATCCCGTTAATGATTAAATCTAACGACTTTGACTTGGTGGTGGGGGGATGGAAAATTCCAAAGTCACAGGGCTGGATGAGGGTAGGTTACCAGAAACAGGAGGCTGAGGCCTCCCGGGTCCGTGTGTTGTTGTAGGTGCCTGGGGGAGCAGATGCCAGCTTTTCTCCTGGGGCTCTCAGCAGGGGAGGGTGGCTTCAGGGAGGGGCCATTTGAAAGTTACAGCTTGGCCTGAGCCTCAGCCCAGCCCTGCGTTCCTTTTTCCAGGGGTTTCAGTAGTTCCTCTGGGTCTAGGGTGAGGAGCGGGGAAAGGGGGTCAGGAGTGTTTCTAGTCCCTTTCCTCTTCACAATGCCCCCTCCTCTCCATACTGTGACCCCCTTTGATATCTGGCTGAGGGGGTTGGGAACTAGTTCTTCACAATTCTCTGTGAAATTATCTGTATGGTGATTGGGCTCCTTACTCTGAAATTTCACCTGCCGTTTTGGTGCCTTGACCGTTAGCTTGGCTGGACTGAGAACCACCTGGAGATTAGTAAAGCATGCCTGGGAGTGTCTGTGAGGGGTCTCTAACCTAGTCAATGGCCTAATCCACTGATGGGTTCAAAATCTGAACAGACTCTTGGGAGCTGGTAGAATTGTGGAGGTGAGGCTTGGTCAGAGGGAGCAGATCCCTGGAGGCGAGCCCTTGGGTGTATATCTTGCTCTGGCCCCTTCTGTTGCAGTTCCTCCCTGCTTCCATGAGGTGACTAGTCCCTGCCACACACTCCTGTCTCCACAGTGTTCTGCCTCATTTCAGGCCCAGAATCAGTGGAGCCAGGGACAAGGACTGAAGCCTCCGAAACCATGGGAGTAATCCTCCCTTAAGTTGTTTCTGTCAGGTCTTTTGTCACACTGACACAAAGTCTGTCTGATTGACTAGTTGAAATTATAATTTTAATTCATTTTTACCTGGGTTTGTTCTCATTGTGCCTGGGGAGAGTGCTATAGGTTCTAACTCCACTAGCAACTCTGACAAGATTGTTACAGAAAAATAGCCCAGAGGTGGAATGACCACCAGAGGGCAGAAGATCTTATTTCAAACCCAGGTTCCTTCCTTTGGCTCTTGGAAACTACATTGTTTTATTCAGTCTCAGAGGCCAGGTGCCCACAGGGCTGGGGGCTCAGCTCTCTTGGCATCTCAGCGGGTTATAATGTTGGCCCTGCCTCCTGGGTTTTTGAAGTCTAACCTCTGTTTTTCCAGCTGAGGTATCAAAAGTGAATCAGTCTGCATCAGACATTAACAGCCGTTTACCAAGCACCCACACTGTAAAGGGGTGCAGAGGTGGAAGGCATGCTCTCTGCTTGGTGAAGGCAATTGGGGGATAGGTGGAGGGAGGCCCTGAGAAGCAGATGTTGTGAACTTGCAGCAGTAATAAGTGCTCTGGGAGGGTGAGGAAAGAACAGCTGAAGGAACGGGAGATTTCTCAGAGGAGGGCAAATTAGAGTTAGATTTTCTTCTCCCTTTTTTTAGAAGATGAGTAAGGTTTGGGGAAGAAGAATGTGAGACTAAGAGGGAAATCGATTGACAAATTCCTGGGGGCTGAGGGAAGTGAAGTTAAACAAGGGAAGTAGAAGGGTTGCCTGAGCTGTGCTGAGGACTGAGAGGAGGCTGAGGTATAGTGCAGTAGGGGAGCGTAGGAAGCTGACATTTCCCAGTGCCAGGGAGGAGGCCATGACGCTCTGTGGCTGGAAGGGTTTTATTGTTCTTGGAGGTTATGGGGAGATTTGGAGTTTAAGTGTTCCAGAGAGGAAACGCTCACTGGATTTGATGTCTAGTGGGCAGGAAAGGAGACTCAGTTGCAGGAAAAAGCTTGCCACAAGGGAGGGGGTGAGCCCCAGGACAGTCCTGATCCTCCCAGTCCTTGAGTGATGTTAAGCTAGTGGTTTTGCTTTTCTGAGCTGATTTTTTTTGAACCTGTGGAATGGGGATAATAATTCCTGCATTCTAGGGATGTTTCAGGTATTCGGATGGGATGAGGCACATAAAATTCTCAGTACAGCTCCCAAGAGCTTGTTAAATGCAGCATTTATTATTCAAATGATAACTGTCTTTAGATATTTCAAAAACTGTCACATGTAAACCAGAACCAACTCATCTGTGGCACGCTACCTGGCCGAACCATTGATGGACTTGAGAGGAAGGGAAGTTCAGGCTGGCTGGGATGGAGATTGCTCCATTGGAGCCACTACAGTTTGGAGGATCTTGTCTGAGTTGGAGAGAGCTCTTGCTGGAGGTACCCAATTCAAAGCTGGGGCGGGGGTGGTGCTATCTTAATGCTTTGCGATCCTGGATGGTTATGAAACTATGCATAAAGGCTGATGGGTGAAAGATTCTATAATTCCATGGAAGGAGAAGAGCTCCTGAGATGGGGAGAAGGAGCCAGCAATGAGCAAAATCAGTGCTTTGCAAGTTGAGGGCCAGGTGGTGAGGCCCGAGCTGCTCTGTCTCCTCAGGTCAGGGGAGGGCCTGCTACAAGTCTCTTGGGGGCTGTCTCATTCCTCCTCCTGCCCTGCATGCTAGAACTGCATATTCTGTGACAGAAATTTGCTAGTGGGGATGGATGGTCTGCTTTTATAAAAGTCTGTCCCCACCCCAGCCCCAGCAGTGCATTGAGAAGTCTTCATCGCTGTGGCATCTGAACATCAGATACTGCAGTGGGTTCTCTGGGAGGCAGCCTTTTTTCCTCATCTCTGCTAACCCTTCAGAGGCTGGGAGTGGATCACTGGGTCTCTGAGCAAGAAGGCTTCTTGGTCCGAGAGGTCTTTGCCTGCCGTTGGTTCTCTGTGCCCACTTCCATCAGGAACTTGTCCCTTCCTCACCAGGGTCCCTGTGAACTCTTCTAGCCTCTTTGTGGTTCCTGCTTTCTAGAAAAGAAGCAGCAAATTCATCATCCATTCATTCACTTATTCAATTCCCTCATGAATTCAATTCAAATTAAATCATTGAACTCCAACTGTGTCCCGTAATTACTCTTCAAGGTACCTGAGAGAAAATAGTGAATAGCAACAATTGATTAGTTCCCAGGTTTCATGGAACAGACATTTTTGTGAGGTAAAAAGTACACAAGTAAATGTATAAAAGAGATAATTTCAAAGCAAAGTAAGTGTAGTGGGGGTGTGTAAGTGTGACGACAGAAGGAACTGGTGAGGAGGTGGAGAATAGGGTGGCCAGGAGGCTTTCCTCAGGAATACAGCACTTGAGCTGAGGCCTGAAGGATGCAAACAGCAAGAGGAAAGATAAGGACAAGAGGCTTGAGCTGGGAAAAAGGTGATGTGTCCAAGGACCTGGAAGGACACCAGCATGGCCAGGATGTATTGTTGAGAAGAGTGGATCAGGAGGCTGGGAAGCTGGAGCTCGCCTGGTAAGGATTCACATTTTACAGGCTGATGGGATCTGATATGTACTTTAAAAAGATTGCTTATTATAATGAATGGAAGATGGTTTAGAAGACTAGAAGCAGAGGCATTAGTGCAGGAGAGAAATCCTGGTAGAAGAGCCGAGGGAAAGGCAAAAATCAAGATTTATTCCTCAGAGCTGAGCTTGGGGATGGATTACGTGATGACATTTAATGAACTAGGAAGAGGAGGGCAAGCATGTTAAGGTACTACTAGTTCAGATGTGGTAACAAGGTCATGGCATCACAGCATAAGAAAACAAGTTAACAGGGCAAGATGGCAGCTCCACAAAACCAGGACTTTCTGCCTTATAAATCTTTCTTTTCCAATATGTGGTCTAAGATAGCCGTGTCAGCTCTCACCTGTTTTTCTCAATCCAGGTACTAGGAGAGTTTAGAAAGAACAGGAAGACATATTCCTTTTCTGTCAAGGGCACAAGGTGTAACTTGCCTGTGTTAACTTTTCTTGTTGCTGTGACCAAATACCTAACAAGAAGCAAGGGAGCCTAGGGAGCTCGGTCAGTAAAGTGCTTGCTACGCAGGAATGGGGACCTGAGTTTGATCCCCAGCATCCCTGTGACAAGCCAGATGTGGTGTTATGTCTGCGTTTGTAATTCTTGCACTGGGGAAGGAGAAACAGGCAGATCCTTGGGCTCCATTGTCAGTTGCCCAGCTATCTCAGTGAGCCTCAGGTCCCAGTGAGATATTCTGTCATAAAACAAGGTGGGCTGCTTCTGAGGAATGACACCTGAGGTTGATCTCTGGCCTCCACACACACATACACATGCATGCCTACACTTCCCCATGTACCTACACATACATGGATAGGCATGTGCACCTCTCATCTTCCACACAGAAGAAGCAACTTAAGGGAGGAAGGACTTATTTTGGCTTGCAGTTTGTGAGGACACAGTTCATCATGCAGAGGAAAGCATGGGGACAGGTGACTCAATGGTGGCAGGAGCGTGCTATAGGACTCCAGTTCCTCACATCTTAGTGGAACAGGAAGCAGACAGGAAGTGGAGTCAGGCTACAAAACCTCCAGGTCTACTCCCAGCGAGCCATTTCCTTCAGCAAGGCTCCCCTTCCTAAAGGCTCTACAACCTTCCAAAACAGCACCACCAACTGGGGACCAACGGTTCCAAAACATAAACCTAACATTTCACATTGATAACATTGACCTAATGTGTGTGCATCTCCTACTGGCCAACACCTAGTCAGAGGGCTACATTTAGCTATAAGGAAATTGGGGAGATACAGTCATCAGCTACTTGGGAAACATGACAGGGTCATTGACTTAGAGTTGAGATCAGCTCAGACTTATTACGGCTGGACTCATACAGTAATGGAGATGGAAGGGTTGTAGACAGAGGGTGGGATGATTGAGTTTAAGATTCTGGAGGTCCTAGAGGCCAAGGACTTGAGCAGCCCAGGCACTGGAGAAGTCATCTGCACAAATGGTGATGGTTGTCAAGGATCATAGGAGCAAAGGGAAGAGGGAGACCAGGCACCAAAATCATCTTCAGATGAGGGAGAGGGATTGGGAAGAGGGGCAGATGTGGTCTAAGCTTCCAGGGAGGAGAGATTTTGAAGGAGGAAGATGTGGTTTAGAGCAGCAATGGGGAAAACCGAGGGTTGCCCCTTGCCAACTTTTGGCTCTGAGCTTGTCAGTAGGGACTGTGGGATTCTCAGGTGTCTTAAAATGTGATGTAAGAGGGTGTGATACATGATATGATGTTCAAACAAGATGCTGGGAACATCAAGACATTTGTTGGGTATAGCTCAGAAGTCATGGACAGTACATGAAAGGATTTCAGATGGAGGGACGAGGCAGAGAATTGGGTAAGGCTAGGGGCTAGCTAAGCCAGGTGGGATGGGGGTCTGGACACCTGAAGTCCCTGGAGGCTTGACTTGGTCCTGGTGATGACTGAGGTTGACATCAGAGGCATGGCAGCAAGGGCTTGTTAGCCCACCTTCTAAGAGCCATCAGGACACTTTACAAATCTTAGTGCCTGTGTAGATGGCTTGGGGATCTTGGGCAGAGATTCCCGTGGCTTAATGTAGTGGCCAATCCAACAGGAACATGTTATGAATGGGTGCAGAGTTCTCAGTGGCCCCCAGAATGATGTTCCCATCATAGATCATGGACTGTTAGGTTCCATGGGCAATAGTGAAGTAAGGTTGTAGATGGAACTAAGGGTGTGCTAGTCAGCTGGCCTTAAAAGTAGGGAGACTGGGGGCTGGAGAGATGGCTCAGCAGTTAAAAACACTGGCTGTTCTTGCAGAAGACTTGGGTTTGAATCCTAGCACTCACATGGTCATAAAAGAAGGTGGGCTGCTTCTCGTGGTTAACAACCATTTGTAATTCCAGTTCCAGGGGATCCAACAACTTCTGGCCTCTGCAGGCACTGCATGACACAGGTGCTCTTACATACATGCAGATATAACATTCATACACATTAAATAAATAAATATTAAAAAAAATAGACTGTCCTCCATCATCCAGATGAGCCCAGGATAATCCCTACCATAACATTCATACACATTAAATAAATAAATATTTGAAAAAAAAATAGACTGTCCTCCATCATCCAGATGAGCCCAGGATAATCCCTACGTCCTTCATTGCAGATGAGGCACACGGAGGAGACAGCTGGATTGACAGCAAGGGTGAGAAGGCCTTGGCTGCTGATGTTGGCTTTGAAAATGGAAACCAAGGGCCAAAGAGTGTGGGCAGCCCCTGGCCCCTGAAGAGCACCAGGAAGCAGATGTTCCTGGGAGCCTCCAGAAAGGAATGTACGCCTGCCTGAGCTCCCTGATTTCTGCCTGGTGAGACCCACCAGGGACTTAGGAACTGCAGAATTGCAAGATAATAAATCTGTGTTGTTTTAAGCCAATGACTCTCCAGCCATTAGAAACTAGTATGAGATGAAAGTCTCTCCTCTGTGATGACTGCTCCCTCCTGCAGGCTGGGGTGCTGTGACAGCTGGGCAGAGGAATGGTTATTAGTTTCACGAAGGGTGGAGTTAGTGAACTAACAGCTGTGCCCCTCAACGGCTTTACCTCCTGCCCTCCTGCCCTCTTTGAAGAGGGCACAGGCTTGGATGGGGCTCTCTTCATGTACCCTCCCCCAGAGAGCTCTGCTCTTGCTTTTTGGGTTAGTGGCTCAGGCAGGAGGAAGGTGAGGGGCCCTCTTTGGACTCATGGCAGCTCAGTGGCATTTGCTCACTCTGAGTGGCTAGAGAGGTTGGGGTGTGTGGGTTGTCAGCACTGGTCTGGCCATTAAGAAAATGGACTCATTCCTGCTCTTGTTTTCTGGCACTTCTTCATTGGTAGGGCTCAGGTGTGGAGGGATCATGGGTAGTGGGTCTCCCTGGAGCCTTGATGGTGAAAGATGGGCTTGGGACTTCAGGACCTCTGTACAGTGCACTTTAATGTGAAAGGCTCCAAAGGCATCTGAGCTGCAGCAGTATAAGCACTACTGAGGCTGGGAACGGAATCTCCCCAGTTATATGTGGGGACGCGGCAGCAGCCTGAAGTGGTGGCTTCACTGTGCTAATCTTTAGTAGCTGATTGTCTAACTTGGCTTTGAACTGCATTTAGGGCCTCAGAGAGAACCATGGAGGGATGTGCTTAGGGCCTGGCCACAGGCTCCTGGAATTGTTTCCTACTGGGCAGTCTGCAGTCGGCTTGGGGTTGTAGATGCCTTAACCTCTCTGCCTGGAGCTGAGGATTTCAGAGGCCTATGGGGGGACTAGCCACACAGAGGTATGGGAATTCATAAAGAGGAACAGGGTCCCACTAGGAAGGAAATACCATTGCAGGGAAAGTGGGAAAACCCAGAGGAATTACCACAAACCCAAAGGATTAGAGAAAAGAAGTCCCATTCCTGGATCATTGTCGTTAGAAATCAGGTTTACTCAGGACATCAGGGGACAAGGGGTCCTTGAGATACAAGACCTTATGCTGCTCTTACAGTAAGAAAAGTCAGACAGGAAGGGACAGAAGGAAGGAAGGAAGGAAGGCAGTTCTATTAACTGAGTTGGGGGGATAAAATTTCCTCCCTCTTTCCTTCCCTCCCTCCCTCCCTTCCTCCCTCTCTTTTTCCTTTCTTTCTCTTTTCTTCCTCTCTCCTCCCCTCCTCTTCTTCCCCCTTCCCCCCTTCCTTTTTCTAGTAGGGATATAGCTCAGGGTTTTGTTAGGTAGGTGTTCTCCTGAGGAGCTATACCTCAGCCCAAAGATAACACACACACACACACACACACACACACACACACACACACATACACATACACACACGCACACGCATAATTTTGGTCTTTCTGAGACAGGGTCTCCCTGTAGCCACAGCTGGCCTGGATTCATTATGGAGATCAGGTTGGCCTCAAGCTCACAGAGATCAGCCTGCCTCTGCCTCCCAAGTGCTGGGACTAAAGGCGTGCTCCATCACGCCTGGCCAAAGAAAATATTTTCTTGAGAGAAAGGTTGAGTTGTTAGAGTCTGAGATTGAAATAATAGTGAAGGAAAAAGGAAGTGTATCCATGCCAAAATACTTTTGAGGATGGGAACTAAAAGCTACTAGAACATTCATTACTAGATCAGGGACTTAACTATGCAAAACAGAGAGAGGTCGCTAGAGGGAGCACGGGCCCAGGAATCTATGAGTCACACAGGGAGATGAAAAGGGAGCCTAAAGGCAAAACTGCATTTTGGGTAAGTTTTAGAGGGACACAGTTTAATTTTTAGGGGTTATTGCCCATACTATGACAAAACAGGTTCAGAAAACACACCACAAAGTTACAAAGAAGATAAACACCTTCCAAAGGGAATTCATGCACAAAAGAGTTATAGATTGAGTTATACTTACAGGGAAAAATGTCTCCCTGCTCCCCGCTGCCCCATGCCTGCCCAAGTGCTAAACTAATGGCCGAATTAACCTCTGATGTAGATTTCTGTTGCTGAAGGTTTACGTTCACATGCTGAAAACACTGAAGTGCTGGTAAGGTTGAGAGTGGGCACCCGCTGAAGGGTGCCAAGGCTAGCTCTCTTTTCTTGGACACTACCTAGTTTTTGCCATGCAGCGGCTGCTGAGCCCAGACCTTCTTCCTGACTTTGGAATTGGGGAGACACCTCTTCTATTCTAACTGCTTAGCTAGCAAGAGAGATTCCTAACCCTTGACCCTGAGTGGCCATGAGCTGCGAGCCCATGATACCCTCAGGAAGGGCATGTGGTGGCTTGCATGTAACACAGATTGCGGCTCGAGGCCTCCTTGCGGCCACACGCACTTGAGGTGCTGTGTCTGGTGCTGTCGGGAGACACTGTGCTCTTGTACCTTGAAGCACATCAAAAATTTCTTTGACCTCTTTGTCCTTGTACTCAAAAACTTGTGAAGGAGGCTCTGGGCGAATGGTTGCTCTGAGCCCTGGGAATATGCTGAGTTTTGTTGCTATGGAGCTGGTTCCAGTGTATTCCATGTATCCTCATTACTCTGACTTGGAAGAAAGATGGATCTTTGGGCATGGATTAAGTTAACATTGGAGATGCTAGAGGAAGTATATCCATCTCGTGTGGGCGGAGGGGGAAACACCAGGATGTAGCCCTACCCCCCATAGACATTTCTGACCTCCCTGAGCAAAGAGAGCACTTTCTACCCTCCTCATCTCAGGTGTGTGAGGTCCCAATGGCCCTCTCCAGCCACAACTTATAGCTCTAGAGATGTAGAGGCAGGGAGAGGAGGAGCTGGGGCACCTGTCTCTGCCTGGTCTTGGGAAGCTGCAGTTTCAGATAGCACCTGCCCTTTTAATTCCCGTCCAGACAGTGTCCTACCAAACAGCTGTGTCAGTGTGGAAACCCCTCTTTCTCCTGCTTGTCCCAGAAGGTCACAGAGTCTTTCATATGGGGAGACTGGGTGAGCCTGGCGATGCCTGGGGGCTAGAGCCTTGGCCAGGTGAGAGCTGAGTGCTCTTAGGAAAGGGGAGGTCTCAGGGAATGGCCATACCTGGATCCCTTTGCAGTGAGATCCCCATGGCTAGGAGTGAGCAGGATAAGAAATTAGGAGAGGAAAGGATTTTGGACTTTCTTTTCCTTGCATTTTAACTTAAAAGAGCATACATTTCAGTTCTGGTCTTTGTTCCTTTTGAAATTATCAGGGGATTCATATATAAGTTTAGACCATTTTTGGGTTCCTGGTGTTGAGCTGTTGGCTGTCATACACTGACACACAGAGCTTATATTGTAGATCCCAAATGAGCAAGTTCTACTGAGCTGACGGGGCAGAGGAAGTAGAGTCTAGGGCACAGCACATTTCTGGAGTTAATTCCTGTCTTATCTGGATCTAATTCAGAGGCCTTAGGGGTCATCAGTAACCTGGTCCCTCCACTGGTTCCAGGAGGACACAAAGCACAGAGAACATGTGCTTACTTTCTTCAAGTGAAAATGGAAATAATAACTTTTAAAGTCTGTTTGTAAGGATTAAATGAATAAATATGTGTAAAACATTTGTAAATAGGGCTGGCCACATAGAGGCAGCTATATAGACAGGTGGGTTATATGGTCACATATTTGGTCACAAGTGGTCAATCTGGAAAGTGGGAGACTGCTCAGAGCTGGTTACTCCTTCCCCTCCAGGTTTACTGTGGATGATTACAGACCTCTCACGCTGTAGCAGAGAGAAAAGAGAAGGCTGCTCTGTCCTGGGCCCTTTCCCTCCTACTTGTCCCCTCTCCACAGGAGGGCTGGGGTGGAGGAAGTGGACACTCACCAACCCTCCTACTCCTTACTCCTCTGGGTGGGAGGGACACAGATGACCTTTCAGGGGTTGCCTGCCAGTGGCTTTGAAGCTGTACCTCTGTGATTCAGTGAGTCAGCAGGGGTGCCCTAGGAGACTGGAGAGCGGAGAGCCTGTTTATCTTGATGTCTCTGATCCATTTTTAATAGGAAGCTCTGCACTTATTGGCACAGCTACCCAGCAACTATAAGGTGTGCACTTTGATTTCCCACTGGGCAATGAGTCTCTGTAGTGGTCTGAACTGGAGGGTCAGAAAGATGCATGCGCGATGTCTTAATCTCCCAGAAATTTCAACTTTCCTGGGAATAGGACACTAGAGATCAGAGATGGTTCCTTCCTGCTGCCCTACCTCCCCTCAAATGGGCAGCCTTCTCTCCCTATGTTTGTAAGATAGAAAGAGACCTTCATTTTCTCATGTTCCACATTCTTTCACAGTGAAAGCTGCTCAGGGTTGCTGGGAAATGAGAGCATAGTAGGCAGACAAGTAGTTGGTGGATGTTAGCTGAGTGGATAAATGGATCCAACATGAGAAGTCCTGGCAGGAGAGTCTGTGGGAAGCCCTGAATCGGAGTGAAGGCAAGAGAGTAGAGGACGGGACCAGGAGCAGATAGCACACAGTCCAAAAATGTGTTGGAAAAGGAGAGCTTGGATAACCAAGGATGACAATGCCTAGGAAGATCCGTGAGGGGAAGCTTCTAGAAGAGTTAATTGTGACCAGTCCTACAGGGACAGTGTAGAGGGTCAGAACTGAGAAGCAGTCATGGGGGCCTGTTGTTGCATGTGACCTTTGGGAGAGTAGCTGGTAGGTGGGAGTAAGCTGATTATAGTGTATGAGGAGGCATGCGGATGACGCATGCATAGGTGGGGAGGGATGAGGAGGGTCAAGTTTGGCAGAGGATGTTTTGGGTGGGGAAGCTTCAGCAGGCTGGTAAGTTGAAGAGGGTGAGAAGTTTGAACCTAAAGTAGTAGGGTAGCTGAAGAAGAACCCTAGTCAAGCGAGGGTATTTACCTCCCTTCTTGGACCCAACAGAGTCGCCAGAGATCTGGGTTTAGGTTGCAATACTTTAATGCACAACATGGAGGAGCTGGCTGGGAGGTGGTAGCTGGGGTGAGCAGAGTGTGGACGCTGTAAGGCCCTCCCGTGGTCCAGCCTGGGTCTTGGTTAGGCATTCCTGTTATGGCTTCACAATGCCGTTGGAACCAGGGATCATGCCTTCCGCATAATTCGTAAGTACTTTAACCATTTTATCCAGATCCTTCCCCATTGCATGGCTGATTTTGGCTAGTTTTTCCTCTGAAGTAGTTGCTGGAATTTGGAGAAAGAAATATCCAGTTAGGGCTGGTTCCTTGCTCATTCCTCCCTAGCAACAGCTTCCTGCAGCTCGTGGGCATTTGGTGGATCATTTGCTCTCATACCTAAACTTTGTCCTTCTAGGACTTCTTTTCGCCCTAGGCCTCCTTATTTCTAAGTTACTCCCTGCCCTGCTTTTTTTCTGCTTACCACCTCCCCCAGACACTTCCCTTCTTCCCGGCTCATACCGGCTGTGGGAGTGAGTCCCGTGGTCTCCTCCGACTGAAACGTAGCACTCTTGGGGCTGCCCTGAAGTGGGGAGTGATACGACTGGGCCTTATGACTCTTTGGCTTGGGATATTCTATCACCACATCGTCACTGGAAATCACTTCTCTGAAGAAGAAAGGCTCCTTGGAAGGGTCTTCACTGGAAGCGTGCTCCTTGCTGGCCTGGCTGGTAGGGGTAAACTGGGCAGCTGGGACAAAAGACATTCAGGGAGTGAAGGGCCAAGAAAGAGCTTCTGGGGGAATCAGAATGTCCCTTAACATGAGCAGGTCATCAGGGTTGAGTCATTGCCTAACTGACCTACAGTACCATTGAGGTCCTCTACTGGCATCCAGATCTCTGAGCACATACAAAAGGTACATGCAGGATTTCAAGCGCTGTGCTTAGAAATTCCACTTCCCCTGGCAAATTCACCTTCCCAGTTAAAAGCCATCAAATTTGCAAACACTTCTCCCTTTGCTTGGCCTGTAGAAGGAACTCATTAGCCTTGACTTTTTGCCTCTGAACTCAGTATCATTCCCTTTGTCTTCTCTGCCTTCTCCCAGGTAAATCGGGGAAGCTAACTTGAGATTAAACCGTGTCTCCAGATAAACTACAAAGCCGGACCCTGCAGTGTTCATAGGTCCAGAGGGTACCATGAACCCTCAAGAGGGTCCATGGTTTTTGGGTTTTGGAGGTGCAAGCACCTATTAGCAGCGAGGCTCCCTGACCTCACAGTGAGCTGAAACCTTTTCCTTGCCAACATTTGGGTGTGAGGTACTGTTCTCATTTTCAATTTCTAATGACTGTACAGTGTGAGTGCTGTTCAAATGGTTCCTGGTCCCCAGATCTAGGGGATTAGTTCACTGGGAAGGGTTAAGGCCAACACAAGGCAGGGCTGTCTGCTCACCTCTTCCCAACATTATTTACTGTCCAATCTTTTACCACCACCAGCTAAGGGATGCTAGCATGTGACTTACCAGTGTCTGAACTCTGAGTCTTCACATGGAGTTCATCTCCGGGCCCTGTAGAAGAAGAGGTTAGAGTCTCTAGCAATCTCAAGACAGCTGACATATGACCTGATCCTCTGTAGCCACCCCACTGTAACCTCCTCAACCTTTCTTACTCTGTTTTATTTGTTTTAGATAGGTCTTGCTCTGCAGCCTGGCTGGCCTGGAACTTGTGTCAGTCCTGCTTCTGCTGAGTGCTGGAATGGCAGGTGTGCACCCTGTGTCCAGCTGTTCCTTTACTCGTTGCTGTGTTTCTTAGCGTTTCTAACACACTAAGTAATTGATTCAATATACTTATTTTTTCTTCCTCCTTGAATGTAATTTCAGTGATGACAGAGGTCTTTAACGTTAGTGCATCTCAAGACCCTGGTACTGGATTTGGCACAGAGAAAATGCTCAGTAAATAGTTGTGGATGTGATGTACGTGCATCTTGATCTCACTGCACAGAGGGAGCTCAGAGGGTCCAAAACAGTGACTTTGCTTCGGTTGTGCTAAGTCAGCCTCTGGTGACATAATCTAATCCGAATCTTGGTTGACCCATAGTCTGTCCTGAAACCCAGTCTTGGCTTTCTGGATGGCTGGTCCCTGGAGGCCGCATATCTGTCTCACCCCCTTTAACTCCTAAGTCATCCCAGCAGCAGCCTTTTCATTTTGCATCTTATCATCTCTGCTAAGGGATGCTGCTCAGCTGACAGCCCAGTCATCTCCAGGGGACTAAGGGGAGCCGGAAGGCGGGTACTCTCACCAGGCAGGACAGCACCGAGGGAGGTGTAGGTGAGGCTGCCAAGCAGCAGGATGATGAAGAATTTCATGGTGTCAGCAGGAGCAGGGTCACCTTTTCCTGGGAGACTGCTTGGAGTGCTGGGGCAGCAGACTGGCAGGGGTTTATTTATTTTGGGAGTAAGGATGGGCTAGGGGGAAGCAGGTTCAGGATTGGGCCTGGAAGCAGGCCAAACTTCCCTTCAGTTCCCCATTCTGAATGTATGTAATTTTGGGAACTGGTATTTCTGGGAAACCAGTTAGCAGGAAAGTAAGGCCTTCCGGCCTTCCTTTGGCCTGCCATGGCCAGGGTATGCCAGCCCCGGGCTCTGCTTCATCCCCCTGCGCCTTGGGGATAACTTACAGAATGGGCCCCCTTCTTTCAGGTTACTCATTACTGATATGATTTCACTCTTTTTCACATAATCATTTAATTAAAATCTGTCTCCTGCAGGAGAGTGAGACTTCCCCAATTCTGAGATTATACTTGCTTTGCTTACCATGACTTTTCCAGCACCTCTCTAGCAGCTGGATCATGGTGGGGCCTCAGAAAATACTACTTCTGTGGCTGAATCAGGAAAGGCTACGTGGTTCTTGAGGATAAAGCCAGGGTTCACTCATTTAATTCAGAATGATTGGGAAGCTATTTATTCATCAAAGAAACATTTACAGAGGTAAGGTGACTTGTACAAAGCATGTATATTTACCATGCAAAGGACTGGGTTTCATTATGACATCTCCCCCGCCCCCCCCCCATATAATATACTTGACTTGTGTTCATCCCCCAATGTCCCATTACCCTCTTTGGTCCCTTTTCCTCCTGATGATTACCTTTCTCTTCCCAAATGCTTCCCCTTCTACTACATTTATTTTATGTTTTATATACCTAGATCATCTGGATGTTTTTAAAGCAGCCCACTTTGATTCCACATCTAGAGTCTGGGGACCCTAAACAGAGCAGTGGGATATCTGAGGAAGCCTCTGGAGGGGAGGTGGAGGATAGACCTAGTACTTAAATCCTATCCTGGGCTTAGGGACTGAACTGGTTCCTCTGGATCATCTCCAGACAGGAGAGGGCTGCTGTGCACTGAGATGGAGATCCTGGGTGCATGCTTGCTGGGCACACACTGAGGTCCAGCCTGTAGAGCCCTTCTGGGCTTGGCTGACTGGTGTTAGTCCTTCCCTTCCTTTGAGGAGGCCCCAGGGGTTGTTCTCCACTTGCCACAGCAGGGATCTCCTTGGGTAATATGAGGAAATGGAGGACGTTTTTCTTGGGCTGCTTCCCATCTTCCTTTCCTGCCTGGTTTCCCCCTCTCACCAGCAATGACCCTTCCATGTCATAGAGCTCTTAGGAACAGGAGGGGGCAGATGAGACCATTCATAGTGAGTCCATGAGGAGTCAGCTCTGTAGACTTTTTTCCTAGTATACCTAAAAGCCATCATCTCCAGGCCAGGCTATGTTAGTAGTTTTCCACTGCTTTTCTGTTCTGCTCCACTGTTCACCCTGCATGCTAATGTTGGAGAGATCTGGAGTTCATGCCACTTCTCTTCTTGAAAGTCTTTAATAACATTCACCCATGCGATCAGGTCCAGACTCCTTGGCCCTCCACATCTCCCACCTCAGCTCTCACCTCTGAAAGATGTTCCTTCCTCACTGAAGTGTTAGGCTCATACTATTGCTCTGTTGGGAAGCCTCTCTCTGTCCATCTGCTTGGGGTGCTCCTACATTATGATCTTAACCCAACTTCCCCGCTGGAGTGAACAAACCTCCTCACCATCCTGTCTCCCTTAGTGAGTCATCTACTCCTGTTTTTATTATTGCATTCCACAACTGTTTATTGCATGCTTCCATCTGTAAACTTTGGACATCTAACAGTGAATGAATCATCTGGTTCCTGGCTTGTCTAGCCTTTATTGTCTAACATATTACATTTTATTGTAATTATATGACTTGAAACCTATTGGTCTTGTTGGTCAGTTACTGTTTTGAGGACAGGAGCCATTGTTAGTTTATCTCTGAATCTCAGTTTATTTAGCACAGATCTTAACACTTGCTGAGTGCTGAAGTTTGGTTTTGTTGAATGAGTCAGCTTGCTTATTCAAAGCTGGCCCCTGGGGGGGATGATTACCCTGGGAAGTGTTTCAAGTGTGTTGTGTGGGTGTGTATGATGTAGGACTTCTGAGAGGCCTTCATCAGGCAAGTATTTCAACCAGAATACACTGGATGTTAGTGCTGGAGCTCCAAATCTAACATAGCAGACCTGCTCCCTGTTCTCTGACATAATGAGGCAGATACAATGCAAGGCACCTAGTTAGATGTGAATTTAATAGTAGCAACGAATATTTTCTAGTGAATATCTCAAGTACTGCATAAGATGTAAGTGTGTCTCAAATATGTCTGAAATGGCATTCAATTGGGTGGTCTAGACTTACTTGCTGAGTTTTGCTCTCAGGACATCAAGTTAGTCTTCCTATGTTCATCCTTCCTGATCTGTTGCTCTAAGACCCAGGCTAATCCTTATGCTCAGGTGCAGGGGAAAGTTGGACTGGAGAGGTGGCCGTAGGCTAATTCAGTAACTCCCTCCTGAGAAAAGAGGGCTCAGAGGTTCTTTATATACAAGGTCATCTGACTTTGGTCAGATGACCCTCTTGTCCTATTTAAAAATATTTATTTGTTTATTTACTTCTATTTTATCTGTAAGAGTGTTTTGCCTGAATGTATGTAAGTGCACCCCATGTGTGCAGTGCCACATGGAGGCCAGGAAAGGGGCATTGGGTCCCTTGGAACTGGAGTAACAGATAGCTGTTAGCCATCATGTTGATACTGGGAACCGAACCCAGGTTCTCTGGAAGGACAGCCAGTGCTCTTAACTGCTGAGCCGTCTCTCCAGCCCCTATCCTGATTATTATTGTTTTTGTAAGAACCCTAGACTTTCTACAGAGGTAACCACCAACAAACTGGGTATAAGAAGGACCAGTGGCTTCCGAGGAGGCCTGGATAAGACAACTGCCCATTTCTGGTGGTCCATATTGGATGGTTCCTAACCAAGTCAATGAGGTCACTGAACTTTGAGACAGAGGGACAAAGGGAAAAGAGAGAGGGACAAAGGTCAGAGATGTAAAAACAGTGGAGAAGGAAAAGCGGAAGCAGAGAGAAGCACACTTGGAGACATGCAAGTGAAGACACCAGCCTGAACGAGCTCCTGGACCTGAGGTTCTGGTAGGATGACTCAACACAGCCACTGGAGACTCACAGATCAGTTACCTGCACCCTGCCCAGAACTCCATGAAGCCTTCTGAGATGGTTCTTGTTTTTTCTTCCTTCCTCCACGTTTGGAGGTAACCTGAGTATGTCTTCTAAATTAGAAAGTCTGTTTTATCCGAAGGCATGGGGCTGATGTCCTGCCTCTTGCTCTACAGAGGCAGATCAAAGATGTTAGCATCTCATCAGGACCCCTGCATCCAAGCTCCAGCTCTTCCAGTGCCTCACTGTGTGGTCTGGCTCCCTACTCTCCCTATGAGCTTCACTCTCCTCAGCGAGGAGGATATCCAGACAATGCTCCAACGAGCTCTAAGATGCTTGTATCCAGATCTAACAGAGCTTGAGTCAGGGGTAGAAAACTTGCTAGGGAGGGGTTTCATTTTAAGAAGGAGAACAGCATCCAGCTGGCTCTTCTTACACTTCAATGTGTACCAGAATCAGATGAAGAGTGGTTTTGAACTTCCTTTTCTCTTGACTTAATATGTCTGGGATATAGTCTAGGAATTGAAAAACCAGCATCCAGGGCAAGTGTTGAGGGCATAGTAGCCTAGACCAGACGAATAGCTTCTGAGCAAAAGTTTATATGTATACTTCTTTTTTGACAAAGAATTTTGGGAGACAGGATATCAGAGAGAGAGGCTGGGCGGGGTGGAGAGGGGAGGGAAGAAGGGAAGGAGAAGAGAAGAAAAGAGAAGTAAGAATAAATCTGAATCTGGACCAGGGCACTGGAGACCAGCATTCTGTGAGGTCTGACCTTGAGCCAGATGCATGTTTAAACTCTCATAGGAGTCTGTAGGGTTCTATTGGTAGCTAGCTTTTGACAGGCTGGGAAAACAGGCCCAGAGAGGTTAAAGAAATTTACCAAAGTGATACAGATGCCAGTTGGCATGGCTGAAGGGGGTTGGTTCTGATTCACATGCTCTTCCCACAATGCCTCATTCTGCTCTGCTCCAAGCAGCATCAATGTCAGCTTCACTAGTATAGGGTCCATAAACCTTTGGTGTCACAGTGGGGTTCTGCTTCACACATAGTGTGCTGGTCTCACACCATAGACTATCCTAGAAGGCATTTCTGACTTCAAACACTTCTCAAGGTTCATGTTGCCCACAGGAACACAGGTAGGCAATTCTATTACCAGAACAAGGAAGAAAATAAAGGTGCTGCCAGGGATCTTGGAGGGCAGCAGAGCCAGAGGTCTGCATTAGATATGGGTGGGAGGAGGACATGGGGAGAGTCAGCCAATGGGGCACATATAGGAAGACCCCATTGCAGGACCCTGGAGCAGGCAGAAGTGAGAGAAGCTCGTATCTTCTTCTAGTCAGGCTCTAGCAGTTCTTCCTGAGTGAGAGGCTTCATGGCCACTCTGTCCCAGTCTGGTTCACTGGGTGACATGTGGGATGCTGAGCAGCCAGCACGTGACTGGTCCATTCTTCCATGCCTGTTTCAGCCACTTCCTGTGGAAACAGGGTGGTCTGAGCCAGACTTGGTTCACTCTGAGCAGTGTGGGAAAACACTCCATCTGGAACAGAATGGGTCCTTGTGACCATTCCCACATGCTCATCTAGTGCTCTGGATTGGGAGAGTGAGTGACCATGGACAGGAGAGGCAAGTGGGCCGGATATGCTGGAAGCTGCTGTTGTGGGCCTGCTTCGTGCTCATTTATTTACCCACCGTGGAGCGCCACACAGCCACCTCCCCTCTGCACTTAAGGAGCCATCCTTCAAATTACATAAACAAATGCCTCAGTTGACTATTGTGTTGGCAGTCTGTGAGGCTATCTTCCAGTGGACA